GTATAGACATTAGCGTTTTAAAATAGGTATTAAGGATCGAGTGATAATAAGGATGAGTTGTAAATTTAGAGGTCCTGAGTTTGAATCTTGAGAACCTCTTAAGATCAGGTCATGAGAAACTTATCTCTCATAAATTCTCTAATCCCAGCATAGATAACCTGCATTTGACCAGATCGATGAGGAGATTAATCGAGATACGTGTAAACTAGTTTTAACACCCTTGACCGTTGAATAAAAAAAAGAGGGGGTCAAGTGTTTCAAAACCCATTGCTAATAACAAAAAAGAAAGTAATTATTCATATGGGCTTGTGAATTCTACGATCTTCGTCGATGAAAAATTGGTAACGATATACCGGCCAGAACGAAAATCAAGAGTTGTAAAAAGAAAAAAATGATAAATAATAGTATCTCAATTAAAGAGATCGATTTAAGAATTTAACATCAAAAATATTGAAAAATAAGCACAAACTCCAATTCCACATGTTGAATGCATGAGAGATGGTTTTTTCCCCCCTAAGAAAAGTAGTATTATGTAGATGACAATAACACCACTTATCCCTCCCTCCATCCATTCTAGGACAAAAAAGGAAAAAAGTGAAAAGGTGACATGCTTAAAAGTTAAAACCATAAGGTCTAATAATGGGTGAAAAGAGAATATGAATGTCAACAAGAAACAAAGGCAAAGGCCAAGTGAATAAAAAGCCACATTGAAGGCTATCATAACTGAATAAACAGTCATGAACCTCTTTAAGAAGGCATAATCCAACCACTAAAAGCAATATAGCTAGTACGGCCGTTGCCGCCTCAGCAATTCAAGTAATAATAAAGACAAGTTATAAATATAAACGTTCAGAGTTTAAATTTTAATAATTTTTTTAGGTCAGATCATGAGAGGTTTATTTTTCATGAATACACTAATTTCAGTGCGAATGACCTATATTTGATAAGACCAGAAACAGGATTAATCGAGGTGCGCGTAAACTGGTTCGGACACTCTGAACTCTCGAACTAAAAAAAAAAAGATCCACCTTAGACCTAGCAATTTTTAACATCAATGTGATATTAAATAGACATGAATTATCGGGTACGAGTTTATTTTAATCGTCATTGGGTTAATTTATTAACTTCACTTAATAAATCGAATTATGTGGAGGTTAAACTAATTTTGATCCAACAAGACTTAGAAACTTGAAACTGACATGGCCCATTGTTAGTCGTGGTCCCTTCTTCAACAACATTGATATTTGCATAATACTATACTAATAGGTTGGAAATTCGTAGCATCATCTGTCAATATTATAATGATTCAACATGAAGTTATCGGATATGAATTTAGTTTTAATGAGTTTAGTTTAGAATTAAGTTGATCAGCCAAAATTCACTTAATAAACGAATCGACACAAATTTAAATATACTCAAAATAAACCTAGCTATGAACAATTATTAAATTATTATTGGCTAAGTCTACGGCACTAAAAATAAGAAAATTTAGTATTTTACCAAAAGTTACCATTGACAATCTGTTTGAGAAAAAATCACGATCGATCGTAAAATACTATGATCAATCAAAAATTTTCTTAAACAGTTGTAACTTATCTTTTACGAGTTATAACTTAACCTTTATAAGTTGTAACTTTTATAATTGATCGCAATATTTTCAGATCGATCATTCACTTTACAAATTATAACTCACACCTCAAAAAATTATAATTTAACTTTAAAAAGTAATAATTTTTGGTATGGTACCGTAGTCATTCCCACTATATGACTTACAATAACTAGACAATAGATCTGTTTGGAGCTGACTTTTTTTAAGTGCAAAATAGAGGTTTGAAAAATAAATTAAAAAAGCCAGAATTAAAAAATGTCTTGGAACTTTTCGGAGTATTTTTGAAAAAGCCGGCTGTTTTTTTCTTGGAAGCCCTTGGATAAGCCTTGTTTGTCAATTTTTCTTTAGTGTTTTTTTGCTTTAAAAAATTGATGGAAAAGACGTCCAATAAACTCGGTTCCACACGGACTAAACTTTTTTTCCACTAAAAAAAAAAAAAACCTAAGGTATTCAGCCAATCCCAAGTAGATCCAATAAACTGTGTCATACATCACTTTTATACGACATGAAATTGAGATAATACGAATACAGCTATTAATGTTTCTAAATTGTTTTGGACATATATTAAAATAAAATGAATTTTGATTAGACCTTGTACAAATTATATTCCAAGTGGATAGAAACGGGAACAAATGAGAAGAAAGTGAAAAGGCCATATAATAGTATATAGTACGTTATCTCGAGTTATCCTCCACCAGACAAGGTGCACCCCACCACCCACTATCGTCACCACCACCACCACCACCAATGGCAATTATATAATTGCAAATGTCTACGGCTACCATGCACCGGACAAAAACAGGAATATGCTCAACCCACGGTCCATAACCATCTGGACCCATTCTATTTTGTCATTACTACGCTTTCTCGTCCGTCCAATTACGTATTTTTTTATTCTTAAATAATACAAAAATTTTAAAAAACGTTTCAATCCTTCATAAAAACTAAATGAATCATGTAAACGAGTTTTTTTTTTTTTTTTTTTTGAATCTCAGAATTCAGGATCGTCTTGACATATTAATCATTGAAATCTTCAACTCCACATTTTTTTTTTTTTTGGTGGGTGGTATACTGTGGAATTTGGCAATTTGATATGGTTGGATAAAAGGAAAATGACAGCATTTGTCTGGGTTCAATGCTAGGTTGGATATGACTGCATGGTAGCCTTTTTTTATTTTTTATGATTTGATCTTAGTTTATAAGTCTTTGAAACTAACTCAAATTCAAACATTTTTGATAAAGACAGATATTGTCCAAGTTTGGAACACAAGAATACGAAATTTCAGGCATTGTTTCATTGGAATTTCAGTCTCCAATCTTGTTTAAAAATTTGAAAAATAAAAGAAAAACCGTATTTTCAATTACAACCACATTCGAATTTTTTAGACTCATTTAAAAAACGAGCCTAAAAAATTAGTTCGAGTTCGTAAAATTCAACTCGTTTATATGTAAAGTAATCGAATTCTTCGGGGCCAACTTGGGTTCGACTTATTTTGAATTTGCTCGAGCTCAGTTCATACTTAAATAATTTTTTAGACCCTTTTAAAAAAACGAGTTCAACTCAATTATTAACCCAATTCATTGAGGAGCTCAAATGATCAAAAAAAATCATAAACTCTAGTGTTCTCAAATTCAACTCTAGTAAAATGTGGGTGTAAAAGATCATAGGTCTGTAGGCCCACCAAGCTCACTTGGCTTGATGGAAATCAAAAACTTGTGATTGCATTATGCTTTGGTTTTTTTGGGTATTGTGGTTAAGGTGTTCAAGTTAATTTATATGTACGTTAATTAATGATCTCTTAGATTTAATCAGAGCTATATCATTTACGTCGAGACATAAAAAATTTATGAAGACCCTAAGAAGAATACAAAATTTTGAACATAGAACGTCTGAATTTATAAAAAAAAAAAAAAAAATTATCTTGCACTTATTTTGGCATAAGATAATACTATTTTTTTGTCATTTTATATGACATGTACTAATCCTCTCATCCAACTTTGAATTTTGGGTCGAGATTACAAGGGCCGCACCACTCTCTATCAAGAATAATGAGGTCGACACCACTTTTGTGCATCATCTCCCTTACACTATCTGATATGACATATCAGAGTTATCAGATATTTAATAAATCCTATAATACTTATTAGTTAAATAATTTATGTTAAAATATTATATAAAAATGGTGTAAAAAGATGGTGTGTGTAACACTGAATGTCGGTCAAAAATCAAATTTCAAATTCATACAAGTAATTTAATGTAATTCTCATGGCTTGGATCCATGGTTGTTCTGAGTCGAGATTAGGGATGTAACTCAATTGAATTAAGCTAATACAAGATTATTTATACTTGACTTGTTTGTTTGTAAATAATGTTCAAACTCAGCTTAAAATTGTGATAAATTTCAAATATCTTATATAAACTTTCTAATTTGTGTGCAAGATTAAACTCAAGTTCAATTTCTCATTCATGATCGAGTGTAATTCCTTTAGGGGTTGTTTGATAAGCGGGATTGAGGGGCTTTGAAAAATGGATTGAGAAAAAAGAGTTCAAATGACCCACAAAACTTATGTTTGATCGAAAATTTGAAGTTTGGGTTATCAAATCCGACCCGCTATTAGCCCCGAATTTTAAAAACCCTAGATCATAGGTTTCATCAAATCAGGGGGGTGGGTTTTGGATGAGGGCTAAGGGATTCAAGATAAAAAAATATAATTATATCTCATACATGTACAAACATGAGTTTAAATTAGATTGGTAAAGGGACACAATAATTATTTATATAAAATTATATTATCATAATAGAAAAATATTTGTGCGCATACCAAACATAAGTATGAACTAGATTTAATGTTGAGTCTCATCTTTGTAAAGAGGGGTTACGGTTTAAAAATATTTAGGAAAGCTAATCCAAAATTTTTCCAAACAATTGTTAATAAGTCGAACAAACAATTGTTTAAGTTCGATTCGTTCATCGAGAGAGTTCTAAAATCAAATCAAAGTATACACTTTTTTGGAATAATCACATTTTGTACCTTAAAAAATTTAAAATTTTTTATTTTATATCTTTAAAAATTAAATTTATCACATTATACTCTTAATGCATTAAAAGTGTTACCCAATTGAAATTGACTAAATGAGTAATCAAAATTACCGGAGGAATCAAACTATAACATTTTTAATACATTAAAAGTATAATATAAAAAAAAATCTTTTAGAGAATAAAATAAAAATTCTTAAATATTTTTGGGTGTGAAATAAAATCCACCCAACTTTTTTTAATAAATAAACAAACATAAACAAGTATTTGTAATTAATTTATAGTTCATTTCTACCCCAAATAAATAAATAAAATCCAAAACATTATCCCTTGCAATGCAACCCCCAATAACACTTTGAAACATCACATGGTGGCCTCCCTTATTAATACCACACCACACCATTCTGACCATTCCTTGTTTTACTTTTAGAGAAACAAAGTTCTACGGCCATCAAGAAGAAGAGACCGAGAAGGAGAAAACTCTCACGCGTCTTGGACTCATTTCTACCTGCCTCGCAAGCAAATCCGATTGATTGTCGGCCAAAACAACGATGTCACGCAGCGGCGAGTTATCCTCCACCGTGAACAGTGGTGGTAGCGATGGAGAGATTATGCTGTTTGGTGTGAGAGTGAAGGTGGATCCTATGAGGAAGAGTGTGAGTATGAATAATCTGTCGCAGTACGAGCAACCTAATAATCAAAATAATGAATCTTCCAACGCTGATGTTGCTGCTGCTGGTTACGCCTCCGCCGATGACGCCGTCAACCACCAGTCCTCCGGAGGTCGCGAGCGTAAGCGAGGTTAGATCTTCGATTATCATTTCTGATTTTGTCCCTGAAATACAGTGATTTCTTTTCTTTTTGTGAATTTTTGTATCTTATTTGATTATCCAATGCTTTCAGACAAATCAATCGGAAAAAAAAAATTGAAACTTATTGTTAAAAGTTGTTTGTTTATCTGATTCGTTTATTGTGTTTTCATTTATCCAAAAAAAAAAAACATTTTATTTCATTTTTTCATGAAAAAACTGTTGATCGTCGTTATATATTTCTGATATGTATATATATGTGTGTGTGTGTTCATATTTGATTTTTTTAATCAGTTATTGAATGATCTGTTCATGAAGTGATTTTGGAGTTGATTGACTTCAGATTTTATTCCAGAAAGTATTAATCTCCAATACTTCCTCATCATGAAAAAATTGGTGTTTTATTTGTATTTTGTTGCAAAAAGTTTATAATTTTTGTCATCAAATTGGTCGTTTTGCCTTCTGATTTTTAATCATATTCAGGAAGTTCGATTTGCTTAATGCTTGAGAGTTATTCTTTATCAGGAGTTCCATGGACAGAGGATGAACATAAGCTGTTCCTCTTAGGATTACAGAAAGTAGGAAAAGGAGACTGGAGAGGAATTTCAAGGAATTTCGTGAAGACTCGTACGCCAACACAAGTTGCTAGTCATGCTCAGAAATACTTCCTCCGGCGAAACAACCTCAATCGTCGCCGCCGCCGATCTAGCCTCTTTGACATCACAACAGATTCGGTATTAATTCAATTGAATAATCATCTTTTATCAGTTCAATCCGACTGCATCTGATAGCAATTAATTTTCTTTTTTCTCTTATTTTATACTATTTGTTTAGCAAATTATGAAGTACTTTTCGTACGTCCGAAAGTAATAATTTGTGCTGATTTTACCTAATCCAAAACACGGATTTATTGGTTTTAAAAGCAAAAAACCAAAATAATTTTGGCTTGCAAAGCGAGATCAAAATGCTGATTAAACAATGGCTAAGCATTTGAACTTTGAAAGTAACCATTCTTAGATGTTAGTTTCTAAGCATATCGGTTTGTTACAATTAGGTCACAGCAATTCCAATGGAAGAAGAGCATGTTCCTCAAGATACACCACAACCAGTTCTGCCGTCACAACCACTGCTTTCGCTGGAAGCTTCTAATATCAGTGGATTCCCCTTCAAGCCTTTTCCGATGACTGTTGGTCCTGTTCTTCCAATGGAGAACCTAAAATTGGGGCCCCATGATCAAGTGAATAATACTTCTGCGGCTCTAGTCTGTCCTATCCCTGTTCTTCCAATGCATAATTCATCAAAGATGACAGATCTAAACTTAAATCAGAAATCAACAATTGAACCATCATCTCTGTCTCTGAAGCTGTCCCTATCGTCCGATCAGAATTATCAACCATCATCAAGGAATTCAGCATTTCAGGTGATGGCAAGCTTCAATAATGGAGAGAACATCATCAGTGTGGCATAAAAATGGATTAAGAAAAAGATAAGGTAATTATTTTGACTGGAAGCAATCCTTTGTATTGTACAGACCAGGACCATGTGATGTCTTTGATATATTTGTTTTATGCTATGATTTTAGATTCGTGTTTGGTTGTCTGGTTTTGTGTTTGTAGTTGGGAGGAAAGATGAATAGGACTAGTATCCTTTTGTTCTTTTGCCGATATGGGTGGGATTGGTCTAGTGGTCTCTAATCTCTACAGCTTTATATAGGAAAATATCAAGGGGTGTAACTGGTGGAGTGTCATTGCATTCCTGATATGAAAATCCAAGTACTGTTGTTGATTTGATGATTCTGTGATGGAGGTGTATTTCTCATGAATGTCAGTGGAATTGGGTCCTTCATTAATGGTCATGGTAAGTAAGTAGTGGTAGGACCTTAATGTCTCTGGTGTGGAATATCTGCTATGCTGGAGTTTTAAAAGTAATAATAATGGATATGATGTTCTATGAGGTTAGGGATTGGATAAATTAGGTAACATCTAACCACTTGGAACCCTAGGGCTAATAATTGAGCTGTGCTTGAGGCTTCGGTTCGTCAAATTTGAACAATTTTTTAGACTTGTTTAGATAAGATTCGGTTCGAACTCGACTCGTTTTATGTAAACTAGTCAAGTTATTCGAGTTCGGCTCATTTTGAGCTCGGTTTGACTAATTTTTTAAATGAGCCGAAGTTGAACAATTTTTTAGGCACATTTAAAAAAATGAGCTTGAGAGAGACTCGGCTCAGTTAACATGTCTACCTAAAATGGTTGGATTGTTTCCAACGAGAGACCACATAAAGCCAAAAAATAATGCCTTCATTGCAATAAAAAAAACATTCTATTTATTTATACCAAATGGTCTAGTGTGACTTATGGGTGATAATTTTAATGATTTTGGTAAGAGTTTATTAACCGTAGTTAATGATTTTTCCCTTGAACTAGTGTGACAAAGAATGACATTACAGTATTAGATTTACTCGCGTAAAGTAAATACTGGATATCTATTATAATTCTATTACTATAAGTATCAATTAAAGTTAAAATTTATCTGTGTGAGTCGAACATAGGACGATCGAGATTACGGTTAAATCTAAGTTAGCCTCACTGTTGGATTCCCTGTATGGGTTGACATCGGGTTTGTTGATGGTATCGCAATAAAACATTTTTCTTTCAACTAAATGTAAGTTGGCATCCTTAAATTGCATGGTCTCATGATCTTTTGCAGTATTGTCATTATCAATCATATCTATTTAACATTACAATTATCGAATTCTCATCTTATAAAAGTATGACAACGGTCAAAATTGATCTAATATTCGTCTATTTTAATTAAATTGTATAAAATTTATTCTCAATTTTCTTTTTTTGCCCAAAAACGTTTTTTTCACTGTACAACCCCCAATGATAGACAATATCACTAATCACATTTACACCCCTCTTATATTTCCCCTACCTCTCTAATTTTACTGTTGTTTACTTAATATTAAATTGCTTGATTAAAGAGGGAAAAAATAAATAAATTTAAAATATTGCACGATCAATGTTTAATTTTTAGTATTACAAAGTGTATTCAGACACTAAGTCATTGCAATTAAAGAAATTTATATCTATTGAAGGACATCTCTATAAGTATTATTTATTGTTTAAAGTCATAATTTCTATTTAGTTAATAATTTTTGGGCTAATAATATACTTGTTTCTTCTTCATTTCTGTTAGTGAAATGAAGGATTTACTAATTATTTTGATGACAAAGGGGGTTTTCTTTTTTGAATTTATTCAATTTTGAATGGAGAATCCGCCCTTTGTTTAACTAAAACCGTAGGCGGTATTTTACTTTTTTTTTTTTTTATGCTTAAAAATTTATAGTATTTTTTTGCTAAGAAAGAAGAAAAACTAAACGTTTTTGACGGGGTGATAATAGCTTTGAGCCTCCACATCCCTTCTCTTCAAAGCTTCTTTGAATTTCCGCCCGTTGAATTTTAGTTTTACCAAGAACAATATGGAGTTTTTTTTTATTCCAAAATGGACTGGCCTTGCTATTATTTTTAGAGATAAGATGAGATTTATCAAGATAATCAAAGTCAATTGCATCAATGTAAACAGTGGTTAATAACATAATATGTAGGCACAGTGCATTTGCCACCTTGTTCAATTGACTTGACTTACGCTTGAGGGTGAAAGTAAACTCCTGAATCTCAATAACCTATATCGAACATGTATTAAATTGGGAGTAGTAAAACTATTGAGGTGCTTTAGTGTTTGGTGGTCTAGATTAAGGATGAACTTCCTCTCCATCAAGTAATGTTGTCAATGTTGTCAAAGTTAATTTCGATGCCGCTATATTTAAAGACCAAAATGTCTTAGGGGTGAGAGTCGTTTTAAGAGATGACCGGGATTACTTTGTAGGAGCGTAAATCACTTCTTCTATCTCGGCTCACTAAGCTTTTCACTTAAGAAGGCCCCTAGTTTACCTTCTTAAGACAAAAATGTTCCAATGCCAATACACCAGACATCATAATCTACCCCAAATGATTTCTCAAAACTAGGCAGCATCAACACAGGAGTTGTGGTGAACTTCTCCTTAAGCAGGTGCAACTCCTTGTGGCCCCATCAGCCCACTGTAACTGCTTTTGTTTCAAGCAATCAATAAAGGGTGTTGAAATTCCTCACAAACCTCCGGTTGAAGGTTTCAAAGCCATGAATGCTGCAAATCTCATTAATTGTTCATAGTGTGGGTCACTATTGAATAGCTCCAATCTTCCCATCATCAAAGGCAATTGACAATTATAGGCAGTATAGGGAGGCAGTAGCTCAATCCAGTCTTACTCCGATGCCAAATCCCAATGATGGCTGGTGTCCTCCGAGGGCAGGTACCTTCAAAGTTAATTTCGATGCCGCTGTATTCAAAGATCAAAATGTGTTAGGCGTGGGGGTTGTTGTAAGAGATGATCGGGTTTACTAAAAGGATGACAATGAGTTGCGATGTTCGTAAAATAGAAACTATTACAATGAAAATAGTGATCTAATTCACAAAGCAGCAAGTGTTGTTAGAAGTCATACTAGAAGGGGATTCGACAGGTGTTATGTGATCTATTAGGAGTTGTGAGGTGGATCTTGATCCTCTCGAAGCCATTTTGCAAGATATTAACAGTAAAGCGAGAAACTTTCGCTACTTTGAAGTGTCCGGAGTTCGCCGCAATGGGAATAAAGTAGCTCATGGATTAACTTGTTTTGTTATACCATTAAATAATAACGTCGTATGGTTGGAGCAGGCTATAAATCAATATATCATCAAAGTGAACAACCACAAACTTTTCAATTAAATGTTTGAATACCTGGTTCATAGCCCTCATGAAAGTACTAGGACCATTAGACAAATCAAAGGGTATAACCAACCATTCGTTTAACATTTTGTCTTGAATCTAGTCTTCCACTCGTCACCAGGTCGGATATGGAACTGATGATACCCACTCTTCAACTCAACCTTAGAGTACAACGAGTGTAACGAAGGTCACCTCCCATCCCGTGAAGGGGCAACTGCTACAATAGTAGTAACGGTATCAAAATAATGATATTGGCTCAATCAAGTACAATTTGATTCATCGTAAAAAAGAAAGAATAAATAATGAAGAAGAAAAACAATCTCGGATTGGTTCTCCCGAATCAAGGGCATTTGCAACTATGAATCTTGTTATTTTATTAAACAAATGATTGATTTATGGATTGTGTTTGTAATCAATGGGGTCTTGATATGCCTATAAGTCACTCCCTTAGCCAAGTTTCACTAGAAAGCTCTACTCAAAACTTTTATTCCTTGTACTGGGCTTGTCGATCCTCTCCTATGCTAGAGCCCGCCGGTTCCCTGTGGACAGTTCCAATAGAAAAAATTTCTGACACCCTTTGAACCGGATTCCTCTATTCATACAGAACTGCCCTACATTTTAGCGCGCTCCAACATATCTAGCATGTCATCAAGCTGAGGTATAAAAAACATATACTTCACAATGATTTTATTGATGCTCTGGCTATTAAACATACATCCTTTAACTCCCATTCTTCTTAGGAATGAATATAACAGAAACAACACAAGGGCTTATACTCGTCTTAATCTTCCCCTTCCGCAATAATTCATCAATTTGACCCTACAATATCTCGAACTCTTTGGGACTCCATCCGATATGGGGTAGGTTTGGAAGACTAGTCTTGGGCACCAAGTCAATACGCTGGATGTCCCTCAGAAAGGGTAAACTATCATGTAACTCAAGTGGCATGATTCCTCGAACCTCATCAAACAATAGTCTCAACAGGTCAGGAAGTGGTTTAGGTTCAACATATTGTTCCTCTTCACCCTTCACCACAAGGACATATACCTTTTCACTATCCTTCACGTCCTCCTCAATGGCAGGGACAATAAGAAAGGGTATGCCCTTATCCTGAGGTGCAATGGGACGACTCTCTCTGTAAAAAGTGTTAGTGTTGTTTTTGTCTCTATGGACAACATACTGATCATACTACTATGGTCTCCCAACAGAATATGACACGCATCTATATCCACATTATCACACACAATATCATATTTATATTTGCCAACTAATAATCGAGAATATTCTTCTTAGTCTTTGACCCATTTTATTTTGTCACCTTTCATTGCGCTTTGAATGCGTGACGATATGAACGCTCTAAATAATTTTGGTGCATCATATTTGTATCTAGAGACCTAAAAAATGGCTTGAAAAAACACTTTCACCTCTGTCATGATTTAACCCTATGGCCCTGCATTTAAGAGTCTCAACAGCGGTCAACGGACTAAAGTTCAAATGGTTAGTGGTAAAATCACCAACTATACAATAATTTTCCTCCAACAGCCAAGTTTGATCTTGCTTCTAACCTTGGCCACCCTCTTGAAGAGAAACGAAAAATTACAAACCAATATCAATTAAAAATTTGGGAGAGAGTTATATTAGCTTATTCCGGAGACTATGTAATTTTGGTTTACTTTGTCTCGACAAAAGGTTGATTTTCATCAAATAGATAACGAAAGTTTGCTGTTGGGGCGATCTAGAATCGATTCAATTAGTCAAGAGAGCAATATGAGAAATTCAGTAATTTAATGAGCAAAGTAAGATAGAGGTCATAGTTAAAACAGGGCAAAGTGGCATTTGTCTTAAAGCAAAAGTATACTAGAATCAAACTAAAACCTGCTTCTTCTTTGAAGTTGCTTCCCAGCATCCTTTGACATTTAATTACCTTTTTCAGTTCTCACATGGCTGGCTTATTCAATTCCTCAAGAAAGTTTTTACTTTTACAAGAGAAAGGTACTAAGAAAACAGCTTATTGTTGAAGCAAACTAAGCTGTACACTGCTTTATTTAGTCTAAAAAGAACTGTTCATTGGGTGGATTCCACACCATCATAGATCACATGCGTGATGACTTTTATTTCTTTCCTAGAGGCCTACATTTCTTAACAACTAAGCTGAGGATTGGATGAATCCTCCTTGTCCTTTGTCATTGGCTTGCCCCGAAAAACTAGAGAGAGAAGAAGACAACAAATAACAAAATTAGCCTCTCGAAATTCAGAGTAACTTCACGTGTTACTTATTTTTCTCTGGCAATTGATATTAGCATGAGTCATATGCACTGCATACCACATTTGCAGTTTTTGTTGAAAACCATGACAGTCATGCATCATATGAATTGTGATTACTATGTAATATCGGGATACACGCAGTCACCCATTAAGCATGCATATAAGCACAATTGAAACTCAATTTGTGACTTTGAGATATTGACCACCGAAATTTTGTCATATGAGCTATCCGACAGGTTATGCCTTTTATTTTATTTTTTTTGTTTAAATGTCAGGGGTGTCTGAATTGACTTACGCGTACCTTACTAATCTCTTTTATGTTTTCTTAAGCATGTTGTGACACTATTAATATTTAACCTTGATAGATCTTGTTTTCAACTTTTCACATAAGAAAAATTGTCGGTTTCAACTTTGCTTTATGCTTTCTCTTTTGGAACATTATATTTAAAGAGGAGTAGAGTATTGATTCTATATATCTACATCATTCGCTATTTCTAATAGTATGATTGCTTAGGTCATAGATTTGGGGATGCAATATGTCATTTGGTATTACATAAGCAATTATTTTTCTTTACTTCTGTTTAGACATCAATGAAAAAACTTCTTTTTTTTTCAACAGTTAGGGATATTCGGGTCAACTTGCACACAACTCAACTAATCCCCTTCTTGGTCTGTTCAAAAATAAGTCATCTACGTCGAGACTAAGTTTATTGCTATGATGCTTCACCTCCAAATATATAATCACTTTACTGCAATTTATTGCATTTTTTGATTTCCTTTATGGCCATTTGACCTTCTCTTTTCGTTTTCTTAGATCTAGATCCATTCTGTCACACAGTCTTAATTTTTCTCAATGACAAATGACTGTAATCAATTTCAGTAGATCCTTCTATATATAAATAGATCTATTATACCAATATATTATAAGTAATTTATAATTAGGAAAAAGTATACGGGAGGAGGATCAAATAGGTTTCTTTTATACAATGTTATTTTAGTATGAGTTGGTAGATTTTGTCGTAATTTCCCTAAAAATTTGGAAAGTGTACCAAAACAGTAAGGAAAAAATGCCATGTGATCACCCAACTTTTATAGTGTTGAAAGCCATGAGTTTGAATCTTTTCTTTCGTCTTTGTGATTTATTTTGGTAGACGGGAGCTAATCAATGTATGTGAGACAAGCGATTATATGTACTCAAAAAGATTAGTCGAGTGCTCTGAGATGTCTAATAGAGCATATGATTAATTGAACAATACTATAAAAACATCATAGTTTCGTTTTTGCAACATGATTTGTTAGTTCGGCATGAAACGTATTTTTAATTTATAGAGTTGAAGGTCATGAGTTCAAATATTATTTTTTGTTTTCGCGATTTGTATTTGAATTATTGGCATGTGAGACAGGAGACTGCATGTATCCAAAAAGATTAGTCGAGTGTTCTAAGATGCATCTCAATTAGAGGAAAAAAAGTGAAGAATCTTATAAAATCATCACAATTTTTTTTTGGACGAACGTCTGTTAATTCAGCATGAAGTGTATATGTTGATTTACAGAGTTAGAGGTCATGAATTCAAATCTCATCGTGATTTCATCTCATCGTAGTAGTAGTTACACAATGCATGTGAGACAAGAAACTGCATGTACCGAATGATTAATTGAGTGCTCTAATATGCCTAAATGCCTATGACTTTACAAGTAAGTAGAAAGCAAGATCTCAAAATTGTGGTAACAAAAATATTTATTTGAAGATATATTGTTTGGTAGGCTTCTTACACTATCTTGATGACTAGTCATGGCACTTACTTGTCTTTCATCCAATAAGTAGTAGTGTTTTTAAAAAAATTATATTTTAACTAATGTACCATTTTGGATATAGTATTTTAAATAACTTTTATTGAAGTAAAAGATAATGGCAAAAAAGAAAAACAAAAATATATTCGATTTCTATTTTACAAATGATTTATATGCGTAATAATATGTATAGTGAACTCGTATGTGTGTGTATATACTGATATAAATGTGATTAAGTATGAAGGAAAAAAAAACAAATTGACAAGGAAAAAGAAAAGGTGCAAAACAAACACAACTTGAAAAAATGCTTTAAAAAAAAAAACCATTGACAAATAGTGCCTAAATTTACACATAGAAAAGCATAACTCGGAATAGCTGTAACATCAAACGTTCTAAATTTGAATCTTGAGAACTCTTTGGACTTAGGCCTTAAGAAATTTATCTCTCATGAATATTCTAGTTCTTGCGTGAATTGTCTGTCTTTGACCAGATCAGGAAGGAGATTAGTCGATGTGTGTGTAAACTAATCCGAACGCCCCTAACCGTTGATCCAAAAAAAAAGAAATGACTTGCGTGGAGGAAAAGGGGAACAATCATGTAACAAAGTGCAGAGTGTAGCACATAAGCACCCACTTATAACAAAATAAAATTACAAAGGACAACAAGAAGGCTGTCAATCCATGATGCCTTTACCTGTAGACAGGGACACTAAGGAACCAAACAGAGAAGAGGAATCTTCAACACTTTTAACACCCTAATCACAAAGCTTGTTCAAGCAAGCAAAGTACATTATCCATTATCCTAGATAATTTCAAATCCAACAGAATACCAGTAGGCTGAAACAGAAAGAAGTAAAACATGAGTTAAGATCACTGCATCACTGCACGAGGTGGGGGAGGAATTATATATGGAGAAAGGCTCAATGTCTCGTTAGAGTCATTTCGATTCTTCTCGTGCACCTTCCGAATATAATCTGAAGCCTGACTATCTACATTATTCTCTTCATGAACCACATAGGAAGACTTGTCTCCTTCACCCAGCTCAGTTAGGTACGAGGGCCTTGAACTTCCCAGATCAACCAGTTTCACTGAGCTTGTCACCGATGCAACGTCTTTGGTAGCTGGTTGGGGTGCAGCTTTTCCACGACTTGTCTTAATGATAGAAAAGGATGACAGTTTGACGATGTTTGTCACCATCAGCATCGACTCCTCACAGAGAGACTTGTTCCTCCTACCTTTGTTGTTCATACCTATCTGTAACTACTTCTCACTAACTGACAGTGCCCTGAAAGAACAAATGAGATGATTGAAGAATTCTATGATCTGGGTGTCTATATAAGCTCAGGAAACTTGTTTTCAAAGCCATGTAGGTTGCTAGGGGTCTAGAGAAGCTGATTTCTTATGTGGGTTCTGAGGTAGTGGAACAACCAAAGAAACATTCACTTTTTTTACCAGGTGGATCCCTTTCTCATTTCATTTCAAATAAAGAGAGGATAGGAGGAATCAATCCTCCCTACCTTCCTAATGCTGACAAATCCACACAAATTTTGATCAATATTCATACAGGTTTAGGGGCTACCACTAAGGATCCACTATTTATAGGCATAAAAAGTCATAACCAGTGCACAAAACTCTCACCTATAGCAGAGTCTAGAAGAGATAAGTGATAGGCAACCTTACCAAATGATCCCAATTTTGAAGAGGCTATTCTGTGACTTGGTCCCATGATCTATCACTCGGAGAATTAAGCACTTGTCACGACTCTAGGTCCGAGTTCAATCAAGCATCTGATTGCATCTTTTCTTCAATATGCCCGACAACTCATAATCTCTTATATAAGTGGTCTCGTTCATTTTGAAGGAACAAATGCCAAAAATGAGCATGATAGTGATGAAATCCGTCTTAAGAAATAATAGATTATGCTATTTATGTGGTAATGTAGCTAACCCCGTGATTAATGGGGGTAATTAGTATGTGGTTTATATGTATAAAATATGTTGTCTGGATTAAGTTAAAGTGAGTTGGAACAAGATTCTTCTCCACTGCTTTCTCTTTATGCTAGTTAAGTCTTCTTCAAATGCTACCTCCTACCATTCACCATTGCTTTATCTCACCTTCATGGAAACATTTCTCAGAGAATCTCTCTCCCTCTCTCTCTCTCGAACCAAAGTAAGCCAAGGAAAAAGATACTTCGATTGGATAAAGCTTGAAGAACCTCTTTGTTAAAGTCCTTGAATTTTAAGAGTTACTGGTAAGAAAAATGTAAACATATAAATAGGTAGATGATAGGGTTGGGGTCTATCACCTCTCCGAAAGGGGCTTAATTACACAAGCAAGAGTATATCCAGCACTTGAACAGATGGCTGGGTGGTTGAGCAGAGTGTGCGGCCGCTGGGCCATGGAGTGCTGTGTGTGAGAAGGCAAGACAAAGAAGAACAAACGGGTGAAGTGGAGAACACATAAAAAAAGGTAATTGAGTATTTAGGCAAAATCTTGGGTGACATTCATCAGATAATTGCTAAATTGAGTAAAGGTCAAACATGGCCGAGGTACAGGATACTATCTTAAAACAAACATTTAAAATAGAGAGGGGTGTGCGTCATATCAGATAATGCAAGGGTGTCCAATTCATAGAAATCCTTTGAAGTATACTGAATTTTTCCCTAAAAAAATTTACTCAAAGCTTAAACTCGAAGAACAAATTACATGCCAAGAAAACACTTCAAATCAGCAATAGAAGAAGGTTGAATCACTACCATATTCATTGGAATTTAGGTTCTAAGATTCCATGGGATTAGAAATTCATTGAATATCGAATCCCATTACTATCAAAAGAAACCATTACCATATGTAGCATACTTTATGATAGAAAGTCAACTAAAATGAGTTACAGAACATTACATTTCCAAAAGAAAAGTGAGACAATCTTGTAGGATTCCTGATAATTCCTCTCATTTTCTCCAAGTATAAACTCAGGTGAACAGTGTTGATTAGGTGAAGCTACTAGCTAATGTGATAGACTATTGGTTGAATGGGCTTTCATTTCCATCTGGACTAAATAAGATTTGACTAAAATGTTGAAACAAGTGGTGACACAAAACAGATAGTTTGAAAAGGAAGCCATAAACGCACTAATATTAGAACATTAAACATAATGTACATTACAGATTAATGTGGTGAGCATTTCTACTTTTTTTCTGTTTGCAAAACAAAGTACAAACATACAGGAATTAAGACGGCAAATTGGTTGGCTTGTAAGCGTCACTTCACCCTCAAGTTCAACTAGAGGAAAGCCAAGGATTAGGTGGCACATAAGTATACCCTAGGAAATGCTCGCCTGCTGTTGGTGTGGGAGCAGGTGAATCATCCAGAGGCATTGCAGTCCAACATTTGTCAAAATTGGCTGTGCAGTCCTTGCCACTCACATCTGGCTTAAACTTTGGCTGCAGCTCTCTGGTCTCTAATTTCTTCCAGTTAACTGACCGGAACCATTTATGACTTTTGATCTCATCTCCTCCTCTAGGTCCACTGCCCAACCTTTTTAATGGGTCCTTTTGCAGCAACTGAAAAATAAAGATACAGCGTTTCTCTCAGTTTTAAGACAAAAAAGGGGAAACGAGAGAAACTTATCAACACAAAAGCTTGCACATACTCCTTTAAGTAAAGAGTGAGCGTCACTGCTTAGGCGTGGCAGAAGTTTCACTCTCTCATTGATGATCCTCTCCTGAAGCTTCTTTCTATTTGAATGTGTGAATGGTGGCTGAAGGAAATAGAATCAATATTGATGCATGTCAGGCAACAACAGCCAGAGTAAAAAATAGTTAATCAAATATTCCCGCTATTTTAACCCTCAAGAACAGCCTATTGGTGACAACATCAATAGAACAAATTTGAGGGGCAGTACACAAACTCAGACTTGATAGATCATCCTATGGAATCCATTACTAATTCCTAGAAAGGTGCACTAGGTTTAGAGCACGTATACTCCTGACCTAATGTTGTTTTTTTTCAATGGCACGGGTATTCACTATTGACAGTTGATACAAAGACAGTGACTGTTATCCAATTGGCAACTGGCAGGCCAGACCAGGTGACTGATGATATCATGGCCATGATATACAGCAAAACAGAAAAATGGATATCCTTAATATCCCATAAATAGAATGTCTTGAGAGAGAAAAAGGGCATTTTAAAGATGCATCTGTCTTTTAGGCACAGCTATACATCTTTTGAGCCTAAAAGATGTATGAAAAACGGCAATTATCCTGTGTTCTTCCACAAATAGTAGGTGTCAATTTGAATGGGAAAGAAAAGCGGGGCTGGGGGGATGGACTAGTGAATAACAACTCGCGGAAATTTTTTGGGCAGGTGGCTTCCCTTAGACTTGAACCTCCTTTGGCTTGACGGACCCAATGATTTACATTTTAACATTATTTTAAATAAGTATAAAAAATGGAGATAAGATAGATGTGGTATGCATGTGAAGAATTGTTTGCACATGAGGAAAAAATTGAATTAAATAACTTCATTTACAAAATGAGAATAACTAATGAATGTTACAACTTGATTGGAAAAATAAAAACAGGAGTATGTGCACTAACATATGGAATGATGGAGCTGATTTTAATGGATTATAATGCACTCCGTACTAGGCCTTCTTCCTGTTAAAAAACATTCCATCAACTTCTTGACCTCTTGTTTGAGAAGATAGGATTAACAGGTCATCAGTTACGACTCAGTGTTAGTACTTCTTGGAAAAGGAATGAGTCGCAGCCCCATTCAAGTTCCAAGGTCACCTGGTCACTAATGCATTCGAATGGGTTGGCCTAAACTAGCAAAGTATTCTCAGTCTTCTGACAAAGGACAAGCATTACATAGCATGAAAAAAATGCTACTGAATCCTTGAATAGTGTGAAATTCACACCCTCAGGCACGTGATTTCATCAACAAAACTCACTACATAACATTTATTCACAGTTCTGTGACATACTGCATACAAGCTCTGATTGATCCTTCATGATGGTCATGAATTGCAATATGATATTTTGCATTTCTGAAGGTTCTGAGAAAGCATTACCTGTCCAGTTAGCATTTCATACAGGAGTATACCAACACTCCACCAATCTGCATCTTTATTGTGGCCTTTAGACAGTAAGATTTCTGGAGCCATGTATTCTGTAGTCCCACACATTGAATTTGATCTGCTTGATTCATCAATTTCCTTTGCCAGTCCAAAATCAGTTAGCATGACCTGGATATGAAGTACTGAAGTTAGGAATAAATCAAACTGAAATGAATATAGAAGCACTAAGAGGATATTTCATATTTTCATGCATGTTCCTGCAACAATATTGAGTGCATTGGGAGTGACCATTACATGCCCATCAGCATCCATGAGAATGTTCTCAGGTTTAAGATCTCGATGCACGATCCCACTATTGTGAAGATGTGAAACAGCAGCTACAATCTCGGCAGTGTAAACCCTTGCCTGATCCTCACTATCCAAGGAATAAACCAAAACCAGTATTAAATAGATGAACATACAACACAATTTATTGTTCAACGATATATGTTAAGAATACCTGAAGATCCCCTGACGGTATAGATGATAGAAGAGATGTCCTCCATTTATGAAATCCAGGATCAAATATAGTTTGGATTTTGTCTGTCAAGTCATAGAAAACAGAAGAATGAGAAGATACTGAAATCAAAGCACGGCACAGAACATGCACATAGAGGACGATGGGTGGGATTTACAATTTTGATCAGTTATTTGTACGTAGAGATTTGAATACGTAGTCAAGGAATGTAGCAAGCAATTCAATTACTTGGGACTTTCAAATATCTACCTGAGGATTATAAGTTTGACATTCATCTCACGATTAAGCATATCCTAGCTTTAAAATCCTAGATTTAGACAAGCAACCCCACCCCCTCCGCCAACCAAAAAAAAAAAAGTGATAAAATGTGTTTAGCTATTCAATGTCAATATTCAATAGGTATGGGTATATAGGGTATTTTCAATATATACCTGCCATACGCAATTTCCAAGGATTAGAATCACTTGTGATTTAATCTCATCAAGCATATCTTAGCTTCTAAATCATAGATTTAGACAAACACCCCCCCCCCCCCAAAAAAAAAAAAAAAAGTGATAATACATGTTTAGCCTTCAATGTCAATATACACTAGGTATGGGAATTTTGGAAATTTCCAATGTACACTTGCCATGGGTAATTTCACAAGATTAGGGTTCTCAACTGCAGCTAACATATAATTTAACACTATCATAATTCTGATATAGTAGAAAACAGACTGCGCTCACAAGTGTTGATAGAATTTTATCAAACCACATAGATCCCTACGTTTCTCTTTTCTTGATCGCTTATCTTTCTTGTTTGATTGTTCACCATACGTTCACAACAACTTGCTTCAGTTTGTGCACCAACATCTGAATACCCTAAAAGAAACACCTACTCGATCCTCCCAAACACACAACACCCAAATGATGGTGTGGCTCTCCAGACATTTACTCTTCCACAAATGCATTTCCTTATAAACATCCTAGTAACTCCCCAATTGAGCTCTGGATGACCCAACACACTCTGGATAGCCAAGAGAAAGAAAAAAGACAACAAATATCTTTGGCCAACGCATGTGAATTGAAAGCTGCCATGCAGTCTCCTTTGCTACTGTTGGAGATATAGCAGCAGCCTAGTTTATTAGGGCTTATTATTAAGTTTTCTCTTTTTACTTTTTTATCTTTATTGTAACTTTCATTGGCTATATATACAGGGCTCTACACTTAGTTTGTATCCCTTTTCACTCACATTCATCTCAAGATGGTATCAGAGCCACTAACTCTAACCCTAGCCTCCGCCAAACCTCCACTCCATTAAACCAGCAACTCCACCGACCAGTACACAATCAGCCCATCATCCACCGACTGCTAACTGCCTCCACTCCATTAAACCAGCAGCTCCACTGACAGTCACATAAAGCAACTCCCCATACAACCGAAAAACCCAACCGACCGAAAAAAACCCAGCCAACAAACACCCAACCGACTGATTACACAGTCAGCCCATCATCCACCGACTGCCAACTGCATCCACTCCATTACACCAGCAGCTCCACCGACAACCCATAACAAACAAGCAGTCCACTGCACAGTCCATAACAAACAAGCAGCCTACTGCCCAGTCCCACTACCCCACCGACAGAACCCAGCCAAAAACACCACCGACTGCCTACCAAAACCACCAACAGCCAACAAAATCGACTGCCTCTTGGATCAATATAACTCATAACCCATAACCTAGCCCATCTCAATTCACCGACCCACTGCCCAGTCCAACCCAAACCAAACCCAGACCAGCCCCAAACCAGCCCACTCATCAACCCACTATCGGGTCACGTTTATCTTTTCGTCACAGTGTCGCTATTTTTTCGCGCCACCTTTTTTTCTAGAGTTGCAATATCTAGGCCTTTTTTGAGGAGCCATCAAATCCTCTTCTCCGTTGATCTGCTTTTGATACAGTAGATCACTTATATATTTTTTAGATTTTTGGGCACCATGACTTGATTATTTGGGAGTTTTCTGAGCCTTCTTTATCTGTTGCTATTGTTCGACTTGAGGTATATTGTTCTTCCTTATTTTATCCCTTTATTTATCTTAGAGTTATTTTTTCCCTGTCACGGGTGCCCACGTATTATTGTTGTCATGGCTACTACTGAGGGACTAGAGACTCCTACCGTAGAGACCTCTATTGTTGAGGCTTCTATTAGTACTTCTATCGGGCATGTACCACCTGCTTCTCCTACTTCTATGTTTGACCAGTACACAGTACCTACTGGCACAATTACTTTACCGGCAATGCCGAAAATGATCTCTCAGAAGATTACAACACAGTTGTTGAATGGTCATAACTTTGCTGAGTGGTCAAGTTCATTCCAACTTTTCTTGGGCCATGTAGGGAAGTTTGGTTGGCTGAAGAGATCTCACCCAAAGCCAGTTGATGCCGACCCTGGATATTCTGCGTGGTTCTCTAAGAACTGCGCCATTCTTGGATGGTTATTTAGCTCAATGGAGTCATCTGTTTGCAGGATACACCAGTTTCATAGCTCTGTTCCAAAATTATGGAGTATATTATCATAAATGTATTCCCAGTCAGGACGGGGAGTTCGTGTTTATGAGCTTTCTCAGGAGCTTTCATATGCTCGACAGGGAGATATGACTGTTCAGGATTATTATGGCTATTTGACACTGCGCTGGCTTGAGTATGAGACTCTACGTCCTCTTGCTGCTATTCTGAGGATAGAGCCTGAGGGAGCAACATTCTTGCAAACTCGAGAGTAGGAGGATAGGATTCACAAGTTCCTTATGGGGTTTCGTGATAAGTTTGAGGGATCCCGTTCCTAGATCTTATCGATGTTGATGCTTCCTTCTCTTTATGAGGTATATGCGATGATTGAGTAGCATGAGCGTCGCGTCCATATTGCATCACTTCCAGTTGCGGCCTTGACTCCTCCAGCTGATCATATGACCCTTGCAGCAGCTGTAGGGTCTCGTTCAGGATCCTCAATCAGGGATGAGCAGCGCTCGGACCAGAGCCGTCAGGGTGCCCCAGATCAGCGCAGACAGGGGGATTCTCGTCAGTGTGATTATTGTGGCCGACTAGGACATATCAGGGTTGCTTGCTGGAAGCTCCATCCAGAGCTTACACCGCCTCCTCATGGCCGTACTGCTGCTATTGCTGAGGTACCACTATCTACTATCGCTACTCCTACTACTGCTCTTCCTTGGCAGAGTAATAAGGATGTTATCACTTCCCGATTGGATATACTTATGTCTGCTTTGACTTCTCAGAGTCTGACTACTACTGCAGCCACCACTACAGATATACCTCGTGTCTTTCATGCTTGTGCCAGTCCGTCTCCCCTTTGGATGCTAGACTCTGGTGCGAATGGTCACATGACAGGTGAGGCCCATCACTTCACCACTTTTGACGAGCAGTTACATACACAGGTTCAGTTAGCAGATGGGACACATGCCCCTATTGTTAGTAGGAGTATAGTCCGCTTCCCAGATGGCTTTACATTACGTTCGATATTTCATGCGTCAAAATTGGCCATGAATCTATTATTTTTACATCAATTAGCTAGAGATTTTTACTATACGGTTGTGTTCTTATTTGATTCGTGTTATTTGCAGGACCTGAGTACCAGGAGGATTATTATCAAGGGACATGAGAGAGGTGGACTATATTTTCTAGGCGATCCGCCTCCAGTTTCATCAGTTCCTCCACCTACATCACCTGCACCTGCTTTATCTTTATCTGTTCCTAGCTTGCATGCTAGTATTTTACCTAATAATTGTCATTACGATTTTTCATCATAAACTGTTCAATTGTGGCATGACCGTTTTGGACATACAAATTTTAAATATTTATGTATGTTGTTTCCTACTTTGAGCAATGCTTGGGTTGGTGGTAAACTTGACTGTGTTATCTGTTCCCTATCAAAACATGTTAGGATCAGTTATATTCCTCGCATGCACCAGTCACCCAAGCCATTTGACCTAATACACTCTGATATTTGGGGACCCTTTCCTGTTACTGCTCTATCAGGTACCCAATACTATGTGACATTTATAGATGACCATACCCGTTGTACTTGGGTCTATCTTTTGTATAGGAAGTCCGATGTACTCCCTATAATCACTCAGTTTCTACAGATGATTAAGACACAATCTGATGTTATTGTTCGTGCTCTTCGTTCAGATAATGCCAAGGAATATGTGTCTGATGCCTTAATATCTCACTTTTCTTCTCAAGGTATCCTTCAGCAACTCACTTGTCTATATACTCCTGAGCAAAAATGACATTATCGAAAGAAAAAATAGGAGTCTGATAAGGATGGTACGTTGTATGCTTAGAGGCATGGGGGTGCCAAAATCTTATTGGCATTTTGTTATTTTGACTTCTACTTTTCTGTGCAATCGTACGTCGAGTCGTGTTCTTCAGCATAGGGCTCCCTGACAGGTTTTATTTCCTGAGCGAACACTTTTTCCGATCCCCCCTTGTGTTTTTGGATGCACATGTTTTGTTCAGGATCAGTACCTGCAATTCGTTGTGTCTTTGTGGGCTATTGCAATCAGTCTAAGGGATATCGGTGTTATGATCCTATTAGGCGTCGTATGTATCACAGTCTGGATGTTACCTTTCTTGAGCATATTCCTTATTTTTCTTCCAGTCCTGTGTCTGTCCCTCCAGTTGATGACACTTCCTTTGATTTTCCACTACCCTCGGAGCGAGAGTCATTGGTCACTATCACTGTAGAGTCATCGGTCTCTCTTCCTCCAGAGCCACTCATCCCTGGTACCGAGTCACCGGCCTCTCTTCCTTTGCAGGTTTATGTTCGTCGCCCTCACTCTCATCCCCTTACTGATGTCCCCTCTACCTCAAACGATGCAGGTAATACTTCTTAATTTGTTGAGCATATTGATGCATCTGGTATTAGTACTGATGAGATTGCAGGTACTGATCCAGTTGTTTTACCTAATGAGACATTGTCAGTGGAGGATGATGATTTAGAGCGTCGTTATCCGCGGCGTGATTGTCATCCAGTTGTTCGTTATGGTTAGACTGCCAAGATTTTATGCCCGATCTCTGCTTATGTTATGGTGATCTGTCTCCTACATTTCAAGCTTATAGTATAGCCTTATTAGATACGCTAGTTCCTCGCTCTGTTTCAGAGGCTATGCAGGAGCCTCAGTGGGTTCTTGCCATGCAGACAGAGATGGATGCTCTTCAGCGTAATCATACGTGGGATCTTGTCTCTTTACCTTCAGGGGTGAAGCCTGTTGGCTATCGCTGGGTTTACACCCTGAAATTTCTTGCGGATGGTACTATTGATCGTCACAAGACTAGATTTGTGGCGAAGAGCTTTACTCAGGTACCAGGTCGTGATTTTGGTGCTACTTTTGCCCCCGTAGTAAAATTGACTATTGTTCGACTAATTATTTCTTTGGTTGCGGAATACACTTGGCCTCTTCATCAATTGGATGTGAAAAATGCATTTCTTCACGGTGATCTAGACGAGATTATTTATATGAATGCACCACTAGGCTTTCGTGGTGAAAGGGAGTATGCTGGAAAGGTATGTTGACTGCGTAAGTCTTTTTATGGACTGAAACAGTCACCACGAGCCTGGTTCTCTCGCTTTAGTGATGTAGTTGTACATTTAGGGTTCACCAGATGTCATTCTGATCATACCTGCTTCATTCGACGGAATATTTCTAGACAGTGTGTCATCCTTTTGGTATATATTGATGATATTATTATTATTGGAGATGATGCTTCTGAGACTGCGCAGGTCAAGGTAGACCTTGGGAAGGCCTTCGATGTGAAGGACCTTTGATATTTGAAATACTTTCTTGAGATTGAGGTTGCCTGTAGCAGCAGAGGTATTATTCTTTCTCAGAGAAAGTATGTTTTGGATCTTCTCTCAGACACTGGGATGCTGGGGTGCAAACCGGCATCATCATCCATGATTCCAAACCTGAAGCTTACTGCTGAAGGTGAGAAGTTGGGAGATCCGTCTGTCTATCAGAGGTTGGTAGGTAGACTTATCTACCTAGCCAACACTAGGCCAGACATTTCATTCGCTATCAGCCGAGTTAGTCAGTTCATACACAAACCATATCAGCCTCATCTTGATGCAGTTTATCATATTCTTCGGTACCTCAAATCTTGTCCTGGACTTGGGTTGTTCTATACATCAGGATCTCAAACTGGTTCTCTACCCTGTTATTCAGATTCAGATTATGGGGAAGCATGTGACGGTCGATCTACTACAGGCTTTTGTGCTTTTCAAGAGACTCATCTTATCTCTTAGAAGAGCAAGAAACAGTTAGTTGTTTCTGGCTCGTCAGCAGAGGTAGAGTATCGGGCACTGACACTTGACACATGTGAGATTATCTGGCTACGATCGATTCTTAGCAAGTTGGAATTTTCAGTGATTTTTTCATCTATATTATATTGTGATAATCGATCTGCTATTCACCTTGCTTCTGACTCTGTATTACACGAGAAGACGAAATATATAGAGATTGATGTTCACTTTTTTCGGAAAAAGGTTAGTAGTGGTATTGTCACTCCATCGTTTGTGAGGACCAGTGATCAGGTTGCAGATATTTTTACCAAACCTGTCACTCTATCCATTTTTCGGGACTCTGTTGTCAAGCTTGGCTTAGTTGACATTTTTGCGCCTAGCTTGAGGGAGAGTGTTGGAGATATAGCAGCAGCCTAGTTTATTACGACTTATTAAGTTTTCTCTTTTTACCTTTTTATCCTTATTGTAATTTTCATTGGTTATATATACAGGACTCTATACTTAGTTTGTATCCCTTTTCACTCACATTCATCTCAAGTGCTACATAACACAGACAACACCAGCTTGTAAACCTATGTCCCACATTATAAATAGCTAAAATCTCTTCGTGTTGCTATCATGCAACATCTAAAAGAAAACATCCACGATCCGAACACCCAATCCAAATTGAATTGAGTTATGTGTCATATGTGCTAGAACATTCATCCTAACATACACCATTTTGGAGCTGTGATACAGCAAAACATATTCAGTGATTCAATCAATTCCATTATAAGATAAATATTTTCGTTCAACTAGCTCTGATTAGAGTAACACTTGACCTGCCAATTTAAGATTACATTATTTTAATTAAAGATTTAAATATCGTTTCGGTGTATTGTTTTAGTCACCTAGAAAACGGAAACGTTTCGATGTGTTTCGAAAACGTTTTGACCCGTTTCGGAAACATAGTGAAAAAAATAAAAAATTTAAGAATTATTTTTTTAAAATATTGATAAAAATATATCAAAATATCTTAAAATACCACAAAACATTCTAAAACAATTGTGCAAATGCATTGAAATATTATAATACATTTAAAAATATTATGGAATACCTCGAAATATCAGAATTTCGATTCTATCACTGTTTCGTTTCGGTTTCCTTGAAAACGGAAATGTTTCGACTGTTTCAAAACGATATTTTGATCCTTGATTTTAATAGAGTGGTAGATTGGCAGCCAAATAAACACCACATCACATTTGAACATTGAGATGGGAGGCTAATCAAATTTTATCCAGTATAATGAAAAAGAACCATATATTATGCATGAAGATATCTGTACTTGAAGGCCTCAGAACTCAGAGTTGAAAATTTTTCATTATCATGCTGTTGTCAGCGGATCATTTAGAACCAAAAAAAAAAAAAATTTCACATTTGTGTTCTACAGAATATAATCGATCACTTAGACTGAACCAACTGATTCATCTCAATGATTCCAAATACCCATAAATAGTAAAAAGAATTTAAGAAAACAGACAAATACAAATTGAAGTTGATACCAAGTTATCTATCATTAATACCTGAAAAGAATATCGAAGCTGGACAATAAAGGGATGCACAACCTTGGTGAGTATATCCCTCTCAGCTTTCATGTAATCCACATGATTATTCTTTATAATGGTATCTTTCCTCATGACTTTCATTGCAAATATCCCATCACCAATTCCATTCCAATCCTTTTTTCTCACCTGAAAAACCTTCCCAAAGGCTCCTTTCCCTATAACCCTTAATATCTCAAAATCCACAGGTCCAATCTTAGACACTTCCTCTCTATTTTCAGCCTCTTGAGATACCCTATTGGTATTGATGTCTGCAGACTCTCCACCTTCACTTTCGCCTTCAATTTCACCACTTTCACTACCCGAATCGTCGATATCCTGGTGGAATGGGAGGGATTTGGAGAGGGTGAATCTGGGTGAAGGGCCAATGAAGGAGTGGGAACGGTTATGAATGATTTGTGGGTCTCCGAGGAATAGCGAAGGTGAAGATGATGGCGATGATGGTGATGGGTCTTTCGGATGGGGTGAAGATGGTAATGGGCCAAATAGCTCGGAGAAATCGAAGTCTTGGTCAGGAGAGGATGAAGATGAGTTTGCTGGCGGGATTGTGAGCTTGCTGAGCTTAGTCGCGAGAATTGTGTGGAGGGTCTTCTTCTGAGCTGCAGATACCATGTTCATAGTTCGCGTTACGGTGTGTGCGCGTTGAAATGAGTGCCTACTTTGTGTTTATCTATGTGTACAGAAAAACGGAGACAGAGTACAAGTTTAGGATCAAAAGCCAGCCGAGAATGAACTCAAGGCAGGCTAAGAGGAGAGAGATTACATCTTCAGAGAGATAGAGATCCGAAGTAGAGGAGAGAGAGGACAAAGAAGAGAGGGAAGCTATGAACCTGAGCGATCCTCAAGCAAAGAGAGAGAGTCTGTACGGGATCAAACAGGCTTAACAGCACGAGAGTAGGCTGCGAATAGGTTACCAAAGGAGACGACGCGCCTCAAAGCTCGTGGATTGCCAACGCCGACGGCGAATATCCCAGAGTCCAAAGTCGAATTGATGGGTCTTTTGGGTTTTTATGGTGACACTTGGAGTTGGTGGTGCTCAATGATGGAAAAAAAGGTCGCAGCTGGTTGGCTCTTTTGCCTAATAAAACACTTTTGTGGTCTGCTTCAAAGATGATGGAGCTCCAAAATGATTAGGTTGGCAAATGATTCGAGTAGTCGGACTTAGGCAGTCAACGGATTGGTTTGGATCGAATTTTGACCGATAATCGAATCAAATATAGTTATATTCGAATTCAAATCATAAAATATAAGATATCAAATTCAAATTATCAATAAAAAAATTATTACTTATCCGACTAATCAAATTTAAATCAAACCCATGAATAGGTGTAATCGAAACTTAATTATGACCCAACTCATTATAACTTCATTCATATTATCAAATAAGAATCTTTTGACCCATTCGAAATACGAATTCAAATCAAATAACACGTGGCTCAATTCAACTCAAATAGGTTACTTCTTGTAGATGTTTTTTATTCTGTGTTGTCAAACGAACTTTTTATTTGAATAATGAACAACTCCAAATTTATTCTTGCATAACTCTAAAAACACATGCACCTCTATTTCTCTATCTTCCCTCTGCCCAAACAGGTGCGTCCGGTCCGGACCGGACACACTCTTTGACACATAGACACAAGTGACTTTCTACCCTAAACTTTCACTTTAATTTTTGACCTTGCTAGAAATCAATTTATAATTTTTGTTTTTTTTTAGAAATCAAACTACAACAGTGGAGTAGGTACCACTCGAGATGTTTTGAGCAGCCTAAGAGCGACCCAGAGGGTCAATTCCCACTGTTCATTTCGTTCAATCTTTTTTGATTTTATCGCTAAACGTTCAAAGATCCCTCTAACCCAAGACAAACGAGCAAAGGGCAATTCCTATTAATTTTTAAGCTAAAAATCAAGTAAAAACTTGTTCCATTGAGCACTAAAAGATGTTGCTCAAAGGAGGTCCGATTAATGACTTGAATCTATGTTTTCAAATACAATAAAGTTTTAAAAAAATTCATTCGAAGAACATCTTCAATAGTAATCTTTATTTTAAAGAGAATCTTTTCTGAAAATAAAGAGCATTTTTGATAAAAATTTGAAATAGAGAGAAAATTATTTTAGACAACTTCAATAGACTCTCTATTCTAACAAGAGAATAGTCTTTCATTTAATGAAAAAGGTATAGGTGTTATTTTATCATTCATTAATGATCAAATAGAGAGTGAGTTTGACTATCTAAATGTAGAGAGTTAAATTAGACTCTATTATAGCTGGTCTAAATATAGAGTCTGTTGGAGATAGATTTTTAAGAGTTAACTCTCTAAAATAGAGAATTAAGTGAAAATATAGAGTGTTTGATTTGTTGTTACAGTTTGAACTACACCCATCATTTTACGCTTTCAAATTTTTTACATTGTAACATCGTAACCATGAAATAGGTTGAGATTCACACAAAGACTTTATGAAAATTAGTCAAATATAAATATGATCCTAACAAGAAAAAATATTGGATCAATTTTAAAGCATTAGTATTGATTAAATAGCATTGATCCCAAACAATTTGATTTGGCCATAACCTGTATATACTAGGTGGTAATCTCACCATTATTTTATAGTAACTTTCAATATGATACTAATCTTTAGTACCCTATGGTTAATTTAGGAGTTTTTGGAGGTCAAATATATCACTCCCTTCTTTCAGAGGTTTATGTCCACGTAAACAAAACCACAACTATATTTTACAAGTAATGTTTTACGAAGTTTTTAGCACAAAATGACATAGCATATTTTTTACTATTAGACAAGTGAGTTTCACCCCAAATGATATAGAAAGTTTGGTAACACAAGTTTAGTAGGCATAAAATTTTATTGACATCTTAAAGGGAACAAATGTGGCAAAGTTAATTATTTATTTGATGGGATTATTCATAAGTTATGGTTAATATTAAGTTTTTAGTTATATAAAATTAATTAAAATAAACTTTTACGCACTTCATTATGTATAAACCCATTTATATATACTCGTTAAGTGTTTTATTAAGATATCAAATAAAAAAATTATTGGCGGTATTCCTTATGATTTTGGGTGTAGGAAATGGATATGCGAATCGATATATCCGTCGAGAAATATTGCCCTTCGGCATTATATAGTTATTTATAAGAAATTTTACCGCAACTACAACGAGATTGAAGCTGAGGTCTCATTGTGCATTGTGTACTCTAAAGAGCATATTTAGAGGCATCAAATTGTCTTAAGTGTAAAAATTCGAAATCAAGCATTAAATAAGAAAATTCGAATTGTTATCCACTTGACGAACTGCCTTTCTGATATTATTGGAGGTATTCCACTCTCACAATTTTAGCTCTCCCTCAAATTTTTATGGGTAAAATATATTTTTAGTTCTCAAAATATGTACTTGGTTTCTATTTGATTCTCAATCTTTTCATTGGGCTATTTAGTTCCTAAGGCTTCTAATTTGTATCGAAGTGTCCAATCCCAAACGTTCATCAAAAAATTGTGATTCATGATTCTGGCCATTTGTCAAACACGTGATTTTTAATTTTATATTTATTTGATCTCTAAAATTCATAATTTATATCTATTTATTCTTTAAAATTATTAATTTGTTTTTATTTGGTCTGATATGATTGACGCGTGATCAAAATGTTAATGATTTTTACAGACGTTTGGAATTGGATTTTTTGATCCCACGTGATTGACGCGTGACCAAAGACATTAACGAACGTTTTATATTAGACCACGTAAATACAAATTAAGAATCCTAACGATCAAATATATGCTAAACACATATTTATGGACTAAAAATATATTTTATCCAAATTTTAAGAACAAAAAAATGGAGGGTTTTGCTTGAGAGCACGAGGGAATCATTACTCCCCTAGTTGGAGGTTGGTGCCATTCCTGTGTGTACGGACCAGTCATGCAATTCTGTACTCCACACTCGCCTATATATACAATAATCTGAGAGAGAGAGAGAGAGAGAGAGAGAGAGAGAGAGAGAGAGAGCTCTGACAAAGAGCGATGGCTTGGTTCTCAGAGACTGAGGCTCAATCACCCAACATAATCATACCAGATGAATGGTCCAATGCAGCGGACACCATAGCCTACGACTCAATAACTTCGCCGCCTCCAATTGCTTTAATCTGCGGCGCCAAAAATAGCGGCAAGACCACCTTCTCTCGCCACCTCCTTAACGTTCTCCTCCAGCGGTTCCACTCTACTCCCTTATTATACATCCACTAATCACCCTGTACTTGGATGTCGAAGGGGTGATATATGCTTTTTTATAGGGAATTTCTTGTTTCAAGCACTGATTATTGTGTTCCATGTGTGTGTGAGCTTATAAATCAAGGTGTTAATGAATTTCAAATTTCTCTGTTAGCTTTTACAGTACTTCTCTGTTTAGTGAATAATCAATAAATTTGCTTTATGTAAGATTCTGTTGTTAATAGGGATATGATTTGACTAATCTTGAATTTGATCATTATATATGATATGTGGTCTATTTCCTACTCTGGGTTGCTTTGAATTTGAAGTCTGTTTGGTTGTGTATGCAACAATAAATACATGCTGATATTGGCTTATGTTACCATATATAATGTGGGTGTCTATGTTTGTGTCTGTTTGTGGGCTTATAAATTTCAATGTTAATGATTTCAGATTATCCTGTTAGCTTCTGTAGTTCTTTCATATATAGTGAATAAGCAGCATCTCTGATTTTGTTTTATGTCAGGTTGTAAGTTAATATTGTTATGATATGATTAATCTTGAATTTGATCTTTATATACGATATGTCATCTATGTCCTGCCTGAGGTTGATCTGAATTTGAAGCTCGTTTGGTTGGGTACACCACAGTAAATACATGCTGACATTGGCTTCATGTTAGTACGGATGAAAGTGTTTAAAGCTGATTTTTTTGATGTGGATTCAGTTGAAGTTTCTATTTTTTTTATGTATAAAATTATGAATTCTCTGAGTAGGGTTTGTTTCTGGTCAATAATGGGGCTTATGCTGTTCTGAGTGAATTGGTTCATTGGTTTGTCCTCTTTTTCTTTTGAATTATTTCTGCTTTCAATCTGCAATTTTGTGTGGCTTAACTACATTTTTTTTTTAAATCATTTAGTAATTTTGTGCAGATACAAAAAAGTAGCTTATTTGGATGCCGATGTTGGGCAGGCAGAGTTTACGCCTCCCGGCTGTCTCTCACTTACTGTAATTGACAAGATGACTCCAGGTATTTTTGGCTTACCTATTGGTCTGAAATTTGGAGTGTCAGATCTATGTTAGCTGTAGTCATGATATTTGTTGGTTTCTCATTAGTTGCTTTTTTTTCTTTCCTCCAATTAGATTTGACAATTCCATGTCTGAAAACACCAGAGAGGTATGGACTCTTGAACTTATCTTTATCAGTCTGGTTTCTGTGATGTATAAAAAATTGATGATTTTTCGTTACCGTATTATGAATCACTGGTATTGGAACTCTTTTGAATTTTCTTTTAACCAAAGTAAAGTGCAAAATGCTATATATTTTTTAATTTTGTTTGTAATTGTAAGGCAGGCAACCAGGTTTGTTGTTCTCTTTTGTCTTAATGTTGTCGATATTGGAATTGTTGGGGCATTCATGTTGGGGCATTTTACTATAGATTTTAGCTATCTAGCAGGTGAAAGTCTTGCATGGAAATATTTTTTTCCACGAAGACATGGTACTTAAACAGCTGATAAATGATAATTGATCTAAAGCCACAGCTGTTTGATCTTAAGGATAAACATGGTATGTTTCCACATCAATTAATTACCTCACAGCAATTCATATGATCTATCGGCTGTGACATGAACTCAAACTATTATCACAGCCTTGTGGCTGTGATCAGCCTTTGCAATTTATTGATCAAGGCTTTTGCTAAAATGATTTTTCATAGCACCTCTATGCATATCTTAGTGCAAAAGGGGCAAGCCTTTGCTTAAGGTTATACATTCTCGTTGTTTGATCCATATTTATCAAAGAAAGGATTTCAAATACTGAAATTAATGTTGCCTAGCACCCTAGCCAAAACAGAAGGAACAAAATAACTATTGGAAGCTATGATAAAAGTTCATTGAAAGTGCAAGTTTGTGCATGGGTAATTACTCATGGTAAGATTAACATTTATGATATACTCCAAACAAGGAGGCCTTCGATATGCCTTTGTCCACAATGGTGTGTCATGTGTAGACAAAACAGTGTGAGGGTGGATCATTATATCTACATTGTCGTATTGTGTTATCTTTGTGGCATAAGTTATTTGAGATGGTTGGCTTTGTTGGTGGCCCCGCGTTCCATTTCATCTATGTTTTTCTTGGGCGGAGGTGGGAAAGGTGAAACTCTATTGCATTGTGCTTTATTTGCCTTGTTTGGGTTGGAAGGAAAGAAACTCAAGAATTTTTAAAGATAAAGTGGAGATGATGGAAGGGCTATGGGACCGGGTCTATTATTTGGCTTCTTTTGGGGCTTGGGTGACACAGGACTTTGACAATGTCCCTCTTTTTTGCATTACATTGAGCTGGACTGCATCTTGTCATTGTTAGTGGGAGTTTTAAATGGTGTTTTCAATGTGTTTTGCTTTGTTGATGATTTTAGTCTGTTTGTTTTTTGGGTTGGACGTCTTATCCAGCTTTGCTTGAATGATGTAAATTTTCAGTTTTATTATTCATAAAATTGTTGTTTCTTATCAAAAAATCAAGTTCATCTTTTTTTTTTTTTTGGCCTTCATTTCCATCCAGGTGCTATTTCTTTGGTGATATATCCTCAAAAAGGGATCCGACAACATACTTGAGTTGTATATTTGCCCTATTTGATTACTATCAGAAGGAATATTGCGTGTTCAATGAGAGTGAAAACCATGGTAAAACTGGACTGCCCCTTGTTGTTAATACTCCTGGCTGGGTGAAAGGTATGCTGCTTTATTCTTCTGAGGGGTTTGGGTTTATATTACTTCTTCTGGATACAAACACATTTTTTTATGAGTATCGCCCCATCCCAGTAATGAGCAGCCTGTGTCCTTTTAATTGCATGCCAGGTATTGGTTTTGATATACTTGTGGGTATGTTGAAATATATTTGTCCTACCCATGTTATTAAGATCTGCATCTCTGCTGAGAGTAAGAACCTACCAGCCGGCACATTCTGGTTAGATGATGAAGATAAGGCAGCAGTGGTCCTACTTGAGGTCAATTCAGCTCGTCAGGACTCTTTAAATAGATCGTATGCTCTAAACTTGCTTCATGCTTGATCTGAAACCTCTACTTTGAAAATTAACTTTTACTTTGTTTTGTCTAGATTGCTGTGGATGATTTTTCTCTTACAATTATAATCACTGTCATCAGTAAAGACATATGGTTGTGGCCTATTTCAGCCTCTGATGCATAACTTCCTTCTCTATTAGTTGAGTTGATTGGGTTGGTTTTAGCCTAATACATCAGTGTGAATGAAAGATATTTGCCTGAACATGGTTCTCAGTCAAACTTGATTTCTTTATTTGATGTTTTTTCTTGGAATTTGTTGCTTCCAGATTCTAGCTTTACACGACTGCAATATCATGGCTTTGTGCGTTGAAAAGTAGTAGTTGATTTTATTTTTTGATATCTGTGGATTCAAGAATTCTGTTGTTTCTAATAAGCAACATAGCTTTTTGATTTGCTAGTAGACTTCAAAATTTTCAAAAGATGCATCTTTTTCTTCTTTTTTCTTATATCTAATCACCCGTTGCTTTTTCAGGGTATTGGTACAAAAGAATGCACACCTTCTTCGGGATTTTCGTTTGATGGCTTATTTTAGGCAGTGTTTTCCCAGCGACTTGAATATTACCACAATCAAGGAGCTTGGCCGGGCACTAGCTGCTCAGCCTCCATATGAAATTTCCATATCGGGTATTAAGATTAAACATCTCCACTGCCAGGTTAGTTCAAGGAGTTAACTACATGCTTTAGCGTTGTTTCATGGATATTCTATGGTGCATCTTGCACTAAAACCATTTTGATTGTTATAGTCCAGAATATCACCAAAACAACAGACAATGGTGATGCTTTTCGTAATAGGATTTTTTTTTGTTGTTGGTTTACACATTATATACATATACAGGTGATTTAGCATCTTCTCATGACCAAATATATTTATTCTAGGTCCCAAGTACTGAAATATATTACAGTTTGAATGCAACTATTGTTGGCTTGGCAGTCAGTTCTGAAGTCCCGGAACATTTGCCTTGCTGTGTTGGCCTGGGTAAATTACTTCTATGACACTGTTATGCATACCTTCATTTTCTGTTAGTTACTTTGCTTGCATACATGTCTTGTCAATATTTTGCAGAGTCCTGATCTTATTTTGATTTGAGCTTGTTTGCAATGAGAGGACCTGAATATAGCTTATTTTAGTCTACAAAAGCAATTTAAAACCCTTTATCAGCACCTATTGCTGGCTAATCTCTTAATGGTTGCTATAATTTATGTCGTCATATAACTTCTTTGCTAAGTAGGATTTTAACTTCTTATAGGAGAACAAAAATATGATATCACAAAAGATTTTGTCAGAAGCACTCCCAATATCTGGGTATGCCTTAGCACCACCTTTTTTTTTGTGCTGACACTGATATTACACCAAAGGATCTGATGAGCTTATTGTCTTCATTTCTCATGGATTCTTTTTATGTTTGATGATGGAACTGGAGAGGCTCATCTTCTGCTGAGAAAATGGATTATATTTATTTCTAATGGCCAACACCATCTTGTTGGTGCTAGTGTGGTGTATAGTTGATATTGAGTGTTTCTTCTGGGCAGGAATAAATTTTCATGATTTTTATTTAACTATAAGTATGGTTATGAAATTTTGATTTACTTCTTTGTTGTCAAAAAGGGTTTCAGTAACATTTCAAGGCCTGACTTCTTATGTTCTTCTTTTAATATTTGATTTTTTATGCACCAGGAATTGTAAGAGGCATTGACACTCTACGGCATTTACTATATGTAATCACCCCTGTTCCACAAAACATTCTGGAGAAGGTCAATCTTTTACTACAGGGGTTTATCCAAATTCCTACTTGTTTGTTGCAGGTGAAATGCCTCTTCTGCATCTAAACCAACCACCCCCCCCCCCCAAAAAAAAAAAAAACCACTAAAAAGGGAAATAAAAAAAAAATTCTTGCAAAGTCTCTCAGCAGAGCCCATTCATATTTTGGAAGTTTTTTTTAATGCTCACACATCTGTACCATATTTTGTGGGCTCTATCATTGTGTATCTACATCTGACTGTATGAAAAAAATTGGGATTTAATTTATTTTTCCAATTAGAGTCGTATCTTCTATCACAAGATATATTCAGGTTTCTGGATACATCAATGGCCTGCTCATATTGGGCAGTGGCAAAGGCACGGTAGGACCAGGGGCACTTGGTCCCACCAATTTGAAAATTGCCTTTTTTGACCACTTAATTTTTGGTTGCCTCTACTTAGAAATTAGAGTAGGAATCTTTTCAGCGTAATCCCTCTCAAACCTTTATTTTGTTTTGTTTCTTCATGGCCTAAAGGCCGGACTTTTGGCGATGGCAAGTGTGCATCCGCCCAAACAATTTGTCAAGCATATGAGTCTAGGAATCAACAAATCTGAAATGGGAGTATCATTCCCTACAACTTCTTTCTCTCAAACCATGTTATCGGCAGGAGCCTGGGCTCGAAGTAAAACTTTTTTTTTCTTGTTGGCCCTGCTAGTTTTGAATTTTTTCCCCCTTGATATTGGGGTGTGCAAATAGGAGTAGTCTTTTTTTTTGTTATTTTCTTTTCTTTTTTCTGCAGATTCTCTTTTGTGATGCCTCAAATTGTCTTATTACCAATATCTCTAGGGGTAAAATCTGTGGTTTGAGCATCATATTTTTCATTTATTATGGATACGAAGATAATCACACGCTGGATCCTTTTAGGAAGCTTCCTACAGGGAAAGCTGGAAAAGGTCATGAAGTCCAGAATTCTTAGTAAGTCATTGTTGAAGGTCTGGTGATATTGCTTTTAAGTAACGGACTAGGTTTAGTGTAGTAGAATGTTAGTTCCTGGTTTAGAGCTTATCGCGCATTGGTAAATTAACATCTTTGAATCTGGGATATGATTCTTGTGGGTCCGTCCACTCATAATCAATTGGTTTTGGTTGGATGCTGTCACATGGTATCATAACTGGGATTGGGGAGGGTATGGCAAGACGCTGACTTTTTCCTATGATTCTGTGCGGGTTGGGGATTGGTAGTTTGTCTCGCATCGATAAAACAACTCCCAAATTAGTACCAAAGTCTTGTGTGTCTCTCCACTCATTATCAATTGGTTTTGGGTCGGATGCTTTTATTCCGAACAACCATTCAAGAGCTTTAAAGGGTTCAGTTTTTGGATAATTTAAACTGTTGTGAAAAGATCATACCATTCTCCAAACATAGGAATTAACCTCCTTTATTTTTAATGGATATATTAGTCCTGTTCATTTGGACCAAAAATAATGAATCTTTGTTCATCTCATGCTATGCATGCCTTATCTATCAGATTTGAAACCATCTCCTCCAGAACTTTTATTTTTCTATCAAAATGAGTTTTGATATTGGTGAATACAGGGTTTGTAATAAATTGTTGATCCTTTTCAGGTACAGGGATGCATCTCTCCTTATATGTCTGCAAACGTTTTGCCTACAAATTAACGGATACACAGCTGTGGAAGTTTCAGCTTTTCTTTTGATATGATCTCCTTACAAGCTAGTTTTCTGGTGACATAGTTCCTTTAACTTGCATGGCATGGATGGTGGTGTTATTCCGTCGTGTTTGTTCCTTAAATTATATGAGAGAGAGAGAGAGTTATCAGAAATGTGTATACAAGGTTGTAACTTCAGCCAAAAACCCTGCACTGGCCCATACAGTATTTTAGAAATGTCAACTATACTGGTGCTTTACAGGATGTTCAATTAAACTGGAAAATGTGCTTTGGTACACCAACACAAACTCATATTAATTTGATGTTCAAATAGACATCTCTCTCTATCTCTCAAATGAGTGTACTTATGCTATTTTCATAGGAAATGTTATGGGTACCAAAAGTTACTAGTGAATACTGAATCAACAGTAACATATAACCTGCTTGACGATGTGCAGATTTATGCGTTGCCCTTTATTTGGCCTGTGAGCCAATTCATGCTGGTTCACAATCACAACTTCACAAACTGTGAAGGTGTATAGGTGTTCAGTAGTATAAAAGAATTAGTGGTCAACTCTGCCCATCATTGTCATGCATGCTTTCTTTGCTAAGATTAGTTGGGAAAAACCATTCAAATGATATGCTGAAACTTAAAGTCCTGTTGAGCATGTCAGCTCCTTTGGCCAATAACAGGGATGTCCTTGTAAGGTCACAATCTTGGCTTAAATCCGTTCTAGATTGGACCATAATTTAATCTTCTTTGGCAAATAGCCTGAATGCCCTTATTATCAAGCTATCTTTTGTCAAAAACTAACTACTCTCAACCTATTTTCCTTCTTTTATTATCTTTTCATGAGCTACTTTCCCAAGGGTTCAAGCAAAAATATAGAAAACAATGACCTAACTGCACTTCCACTTGACACCTATTGTAATGATAAAAACTGCTCAGCTCTCGTTAAGACGTTCTCTTCAATTTTAAAAACTTTTGGTTTACAACCCATTCCTATCTCCAAGTACTTCCCAATGCTATCTTGAACCAGTCCACACCCTAAAGACCAACTCATGGCTGCCATGATCATTTCATCAAGCTCATGCATCCACCCAATTTTCGGCTTAATAGTCTTGATGATTCTTCCCTTGCTTTTCACTTCTGCAGATCCTGATGCATTGCAGGACTTCTGTGTTGCTGACCTAAAAGCCTCAATATCTGTTAATGGCTTTCCCTGCAAACCTGCGTCAGAAGTGATTTCCGATGATTTTTTCTTTGATGGACTGAGCAAAGAGGGTAACACAACCAATATTTTTGGTGTGAATGTCACAGTCGGAAACGTGAGAACGTTTCCTGGCCTCAACACACTTGGAATCTCGATGAATCGAGTTGATTTAGCTCCTGGTGGCGAAAACCCGCCCCACTCGCATCCACGCTCAACCGAGTCCGGGGTGGTCATTGAAGGAAGAGTCCTTGTAGGGTTTGTCACAACTGGGAATGTGTTCTACTCTAAAATTTTGACTGCTGGGCAGATGTTTGTGATCCCTCAGGGGCTGGTGCATTTTCAATTCAATGTTGGAGAAGGAAAGGCACTGATCTTTACAGCTTTTAATAGTCAATTGCCTGGTTCTGTGATTGTCCCCCTCACTCTGTTTGCTTCAAAGCCTTCAATTCCTGATGAAGTATTGAGTAAAGCTTTTCAAGTAGAAGAAGATGTTATCAGTGGCATTAAATCCAAGTTTGGTTCTTAGAACTGTCCTTGAACAAATTCCACTTTTGTGTTTGAGAAGTGTTGGTGATTCCTGTGCCCTACCAGTTTTTATCTATTTTTCTTGTTTAGCATGCATCGTCGGGCAGACCCGGTGCAAAAGCTTCCCATCCATAGCAAGGTCTGGGAAAAATAAGTAATTAACATATTTACTCTCATTCTAGAGAGGCTAATTCCCAGACTCCTGCCACACAACCTTCTGTAACTATAAATCCTAGATTGTAATTTTACAACCCAAGCAAAAATAAATTTTCAACTCAGGCTTGAAGTAAGACAGATTAATTTTATTTTTGCTGTTCCCTTTCTATTTTTATTGTTTTTTTGGCTTTTTCATTTCAAACTTTGGGTGGTGAAATTGTTCTGTGTTGTAAGGATGACATTGTAGATGTTGAACTTGTAAAAACTAGTAAGAAACTGTAACTGTAAACAGGAAGTCAGAAAATTTGAACTGCCATTACTCACAAGAAAGTTACCAATTACTACATTCATCAAAGAAGAATGTTAACATAGCAATACAAAGAAGTATACTTGATTCAGTTAGGTGATACAACGAAGATAAATATAATTAGTTACAGAAGATACCGACTCTAATCACAAATTCAATATAGCAGGAAACATAGATTGCCACCATACATACATACGCTGCTTGATTCCCCAACTACCAAAAAGTCAGGGCAGTAACTGGATTTCGCTCGAGAAACTGAAAATTGGTCAGATTACTATGAAGTTGTTTTTTCAAAGCTACCACCAACCTGCATATGAAGCCACTCGGGTTGGGATCCATGAGCATATTCCCTTGGTGCTTGAGATCCAAATATCATTCCAGCAGCATCAAATCGTGGTGCCACAAGCTGGAAAACCAGATTTTCCAGTTAGACTATTAGCACAAAGAATGTTCATCATAGTTGTGTTCTGCACCTTCCTATCCAATGTAACAAACTTACTTGTCATTTCTTATAAACAAGCTTCCATCACATATTTAAATAAGTTCATATTGACAAACACTGTGATGGATATTCTTTTTGTGTTGGTAAAAATGCAGAAAGAAACAAAAGTATATACATCTTGTAGTTGTAAATATGCTATGGTCTCAAAAGTACTGGTGTAACCATACACATATGTGAACATACATTTAGATGAATGAATAACACAACACTGACAGGTTTTAGATTCAAAAGCATGGATGAGAACTATAATGTAGAACCAATGAAATGGTCATGCGTGACAAGACTTGGTCGCACTAAGGAGCATAGTTCAAATTGGAAGTTCTACGACAAAAACTGGAGGTTGAAAAGAACTTCCCTTTTACTTCCCCCCTCCTACTTTCTGGATTTCTGTCTAAAAATGCATTCTGAGTGAAAACAGAGGTGAATCCCTTATGTTTTACTAACAAAAAGGCTATCAAGTTAACAAGTATCAGATTTGCAACCAAACTGAAACAATCCAAAGGCTAAATTGAGTTGGTTGCATAGAGTCAAGGACCATAAATACACTTCCACACTGATAATTGACCCTAATTGTCATGTTCACATCTAGGAAAGAGCTGTATATTGTAAAACTCACCAGGAAGAAAAAAAAAATGGGAAAAAGAAAAAACACTTAGAATGGCAACCATCTATCAGTTGATCTACATAACCGAAAAATTGTATTCAGCCACTTGTTCTTGAAACAAACCTAATAGGCTAATACCACAACTTACAACAAGAGGAAAGAGCCATATCCAGGTAGGTGAAGACAAATTAAAGACAAAAAGAAAAAAGGGGCTAGAAGGAAGTACAACTTAGTGGTGGTCCAATTCTGAAAAAAAGCAAGAAAGAGTGTACAGCAGAAAATTGCCGTCCACCAGCCATACCAATTTCTAATTGCTAGGGCCAAAGGTAGAACTATCATTAAGAAAAGTTGTTTCTTGTATGAAAGAGAAATGCAGAACTATCCTGGAAAAGTTTAAAAAGTCAAGTTAGCAACTGTAGAGATTTTTCCTCCAAACATTTAAAACATCATTGAAAATTGAAATTCAAAGGGTATCCAAAGAGATGTTCAAAATGAATATTTAGGGAACTCAAATTTTGAATGATAGCTTAACATTTTTTTGATAGACAAATACTAAATAGTTAAAAAAAAAAATGCTAAAATACACCTTCAGCAGGCAGATTTTGGCAGGTATGGCTTGGTAAAAACTGAGGTTTGTAGATCTACAATTCATCTTCTCACCCATTGTGTCAAATATTTTGATCTTCTCTAAATCAATAACATAATGCACTATAAACTAGGAGAAGAGATCAGGTCTTCTGAGGCAAAAAAGCTCACATGGGTTAGCATTTATGTGAAAACAGAGTTTTAAGGCTCTAAAAATTCTTTGATATCTGAAGTAGTCTTATCTTATGAGCAAATTCTTTCCCTATACCTTCAAAACTCATCAATGCTTGCCAGTTTCAATCCAAGTGTTGATGAGAAACCAAAGAAGGTACATCCATTTATCATAAAAATGAAAGCTACATCTCTAAATAAACAACTTTTAAACAACAGAACTGGGAAAAATTAATCAGAAAGAACAAATATATAGTTTGCCATCTTCTTTTCTTTATTTTTCTTGTCAGGTATACCTGGTAGACTCCAAATAGAGAAAAAGGGTGGTAGGGGACCTTCCTTTACTCTTCTTGCTGATGCAAAGAGCCCACATTTTCATATTTTGTTAGATCATTTGAGTAAGAAGAGATCATTTATTTACATTAAGCTTGATCACTTCCTTCTACTAAAAGAGGGGATGGAGTGTTGGCCTTCGAAAAAGGAGAGTAACTATTGTCAAAACTACTGCAAATGCTTTCTTTGAGATTTGGCCTATAAAACTATTATCCATGAGATGGCAGTTCAGATTGTTGGCCTTCGAAAAGGAGAGTAACTATTGTCAAAACTATTGCAATTGCTTTCTTTGAGATTTGGCCTATAAAACTATTATCCATGAGATGGCAGTTCAAATTGTTATTGAATATCCATGCAACAATGTATAGATTACTTTGATGTGAAGCCATTAGTATTCCCCTAAAAGACTTACTACTAACAAAAGGAACAAATTCTTTCAATCTGGGATTTAATGCTCTAAACTCATATCAGAATATGTTCAATGTTGTGCAATTACAAGTGCCCACTTGGTCTCATTGAGGTTGAGCATCTTGACAAAATTTTACAAACAGAACTTCGAAACAATAAATTTGATAATCGCAAGAAGTTCTCGCTGGAGTTGAAAAATAAGCATTCCAATGATCACATGTCAAAATTAATTACCATAACTCCTACAATAACATATTTTGAATAAGAAAGAATAATAACAAGTACACTTATCAATGCATTGAGACTTACATCCTTTAAAGGGAATCCGTCCACTGTGAGGTTCATCATTGAATTGACTGCTTCGAGCTTCATTGACAAGAACTACAACATTCAATTTAGAAAGCATAGCATCAGATGCAACGGTCTCAAGGATGGTAATGAACATAAAGGTAATTGACATGGCAGGATAAAGGTGATTACCTCAACCTGACGCTGCAGTGACTGGATGTAATTAATTATCTCATCAAGGACAAGAGCTTTCCCAATAACCTGTCCAAATTAAAATCTAGTAAACCAGTGTTTGTGAAGAATATTAAATCATAATGAAATAAAAAGGGAACTCACTAGCACGTTGTTAGATATTTGACAATTGGAATTTAGATAGCAAGTTTTAACAAAGTTCACTAACAATGGTGCAAGGAAGAAAAGAAAATCATGCCTTTTAGCAGCAATATTCAGATGCTTACAAAATTTCAACGCATGAAAATCACGTCTTTTAGCAGAAATTTCCGTATGCTTAAACATACATGGGTCTCTTTTTCCGCTTTAGAAAAATATGTAGGTCTTTCCTGCATGTAACTAGGGAGTAGGACAACCACAAAATCAACAGCAAACCAACACACACCTTATTACATCCAGGGACTAAATCTTGCAGAATCTTCATCCTCTCACTTATCTTTTCTCTCCTAGCCTGACAAACAAACAATTTTGAACGAGAAAAAATGATTCCACTTCAGTTGATAGAGGAACAACAGTTAATTTAAAGTTTGATGGTCTAAAAAGTATTACTCTCTCTGCCAGACTATGGCTATCAGTGGCTTGACCCCTTCTTGCTCTCACATGGATATAGTCTTTAGGTGGATCAGAAGGTTTATTGATTTGTTCAGCAGGCTTGCTATCTGTCCCTGAACTTGCTTCCACTTCACCCTTTGAACCATCATTCTCATTGCTAGATCCTGACACTTTCACTCGTTCACCATTCGCACCATCCTGTCCAAAAGGAGTAGAAGTCAATTCACAGTTGGCACCATAACTCGATAATATTCTGACTTCCGCATGGTGAACAAACACTTCTGAACTCACAAAGGAATAATCACATACAAAATTTACAAGAAGAAAAATATTCATAGATCAAAATTATATCACTAGGAAAAACCCAAGTAAACTATCCCAAAAATACATTGAAATAGTTAGGAGATCAGCAAACCATGGACATTTATCAAATCAAGTTGGCAGAGATGGTTCTAACTTCTAACCTTTGAAATACACACACACAAAAAATACAAATTCCCCCCGGCCCCCCCCCCCCCCCCCCGAAAAAAAAAAAAAAACACACAAAGAAGAACAAACTAAAGTTCAACTCACATCAAACTTATATACACACACCAACCTTTCAAAGCTGACATAGGAGGTCAGACTAATCAGAAAAATCTCAACAACAATTATAACCACAAGCTAAGCAATTCAATTTCCAAAAACAATAAATACCACATATAAATTGAGAGAGAAAAAAAGATACCCAAATCATTGCAACTACTACTAAGAATTTCAACAAGCATATTTCGAATCAATTAAAAAACAAATAAAGAAGTACCAATTCATTGCCACTACTAGTGGAAACCAGCTTGGAAGACTCATCCTCGGAATTGGCCGCCTTTCTTTTCCTCGCACCTCCACCATTTCCACGACTTCCACTCTGCTCCGTCACCGTTGATTCATCAATCGACAAATCACGATTCGTGGCCACTTCTCCAAATCCACTGAAGCTACACATTCTCAGCCCCAACGCCCCCCCACTCTCACCATTGCCGTTGATCGGAAACTGCCAAATCTCAGCCAAACTGTACGACGACGGATTCGCCGCCGAAAAAGAACTCTCATTGACTATTGGAGGGTCCATGTTAAGCTCTCACATTTACATATACTTTACAAGTACCTAGCTTTACACACAAAATTAGAATTGGAGATGAATGATGAGTGCTAATATTATTGAAAACTCTTTTCTATGGGGGGTTTTTGAGAGAGAGAGAGAGAACTGTGTTTTGGGTGAGGTGTTTCAAGTGTTATTCTAGATAGCGAAAGTGAATGCCGAGAAAGAAAGCACAGTATTATCCCTAATGGGGGATGATCAGGATATATATATATATATGTGTGTGTGTGTGTGTGTACCAGTATATATGTATGTGAAGAGAGAGAGAGAGACACTGGTCTGTGACTGTGGGGAAGTGGGAAAAACGTGCGCACTGCGCTTATGGCGCATTTTATGAGTAGGTACTAGCTTCAGAATGGTTCCCAAAAAAAAAATTATTAGAGTTTTTATTTTTTTTTAATTACCAAATTAAGATTCTCTCTAATCACATTTTATCACGTGTCTTATTCATAACTATTCTTCAATTCTCCATTAATTAATCACTAATTTTTTTTCAATATATTCAAATAAAATTAATTTTAATATTTAATAATTTATCATTATTTTTTTTATCTACTCTTATTCTTATAAAATAATAGTTAAATATGCTTTAATTTTTTTAATAAATTTGTTCTTTTTTTTACAATAACACATTCATAGTTTTTTTTTTTTTTTTTTGGGGGGGGGGGAGGGGGGGGGAAAGGGGGTTTGTGTATCCTTGCACATGCATGTGTATGTGTAGATGTGCATATTTTATGCTATCACTTGATCATTTAGATAACAACGACATCCAATTAATTCCATATATGATGTATCATATATGGGTGGCTCATTTGCATAGTGCTCCACACTAGGTTATTGTAGGACATGCATGCCCTTGTAGATTGCAAGGTTACATAAAATTATGCATCTTAATTTTAGATGGGTATTTTTTTATATAAATCGTTAGATTGTGATCTAATAATTATTAATCAAATAAATGTTTCTATACATCAATTTATGTCACAGTCCTATAATATTAGTATATATATTATATTTCTAATGACCCAATGTATAATTTTTTAGTATATATATTCTTTGGTATTAACTCGATGGTAAACTCAACTTCCTTGTTAGGTGGTAATTTTGATAACTCATCTGCAAACATATCTCGAAATTCATCTTTACTTTATCTTTACTAGTGTCCCTTTAATATGTCAAGTAACATTGACACCCATTTCTAAGTAACTTTTGAGCCTTAATTGTCGATATGAGACAACTAGTTTGATGTCCAGACAGACGTGTCCTTTGTTTAATGACTTTGGATGCAACTTACGTTCAAAAATTCGATGGTTCACAGGATTTTATAATTCACACAAAGTATCACATTTTGTTACGTTCTTCAACTATGTGAGAGCAAGACATTCATTGCCGAAAGTCGTTTTAGATTCAAAAGATGCATATATATATAAAGAGAGAGAGAGAGAGAGAGAGAGAGAGCTATGTGCACTGGAATTGCGTCAAAGAACAGCCATGAGAGACATAAGGGTTGGTGGCAGTCATAAATAGGACCTCCACTTTTGTCAAGTTATTCACACTCTCATACAATTTATGTCATCTTTTAGCAGAGGCCTAACCCTCCAAATCCAATATTCCATTGGCATAAATATCTGGCCATGGGGCCTAACACAAACATAATTCTTGGGAAGCATACAACAATCACCAGAAAGTCTATTTTACACCATGCCCAACAAGGTATTTCCATATGTGGCTATGATGTTTCCTCTAACAATAATGATATGTGTGCTACATTTGTACACCATCCTATCTACACCACTTGATGTGACATGATCTTAACCTTTGAATGTTCAATGAATTCAACTAGACCTATTAATTTAATGGTTCATATTGTGATGGTACACAAAGATAGTGTTGTGCAACATTATTGTTCCCCTAAAAATTTACCTCACATTCATACCAATCAAGAGCACTTGAGGATAGGTCTAAAAATGAATCAAAGTTTGATTTGAATATGAAACCCTAAATGAAAATGGATTGTTTTTTTGACAGACATTTCAAATCTATTGTATCATATTTCACAAATTCAAATTTGAATATATGAATATACAATCCGATTCAGATTTGATTCAAGTTGTATGTGTACTTTTGAAATTGAATGATTATTTGGTAAAATTGGGTTTAAACACAAATGTAATTTTCAAAATAAAATTTAATTAGTGGACTTTTTCGGAAAAGTGAAAGTTCAATTAAAATTCAATTTATTGACAAGCCAACTCGAGGGTGACTTACTTCCTCTACTCTTTTCTTGGGTATTTGACACGTGTCTAAAATTGGGATGTCACAAGTTCATTTTCAGACTCATAATCTTATCTGGTCCACACCAATTAAATTGCACATGCAGAGCATCCATGTGATGGGCGTCAGTGACAAAGTTTTTCACTGTTACATCAAAATGCCATCACAGTCACTGTACTAAAATGAGATAGATGATGGAGCAAACTTGTTTTGGATTGGCTTCTTGTTGGTAAAGCTCAAGCCTTTTTATCATGATAACATTGATAAGTGCTAAAAGTTTGATTGTTTTTCTTCTAAAAATGTTCAATTGCCTTTCACCTTTTCAATATTTTTCTGATTTAAAAACATTTGCATCTTACATGTAAGTGAAAGATACCTATTACTACCGAATAAGGCTGATAATCAAGTCGAGTTATTCGAAATTAATTTAGGTTTGACTTATTTTGAGTTTGATTTGAACTCGGTTCTTTTTTCTAAATGAATCAAGATTGAACAATTTTTTAAACTTGTTTACTAAACAAGCCTAAAATGTTCAGTTCGAGTTTGTCATTTTATATGTAAAATAATCAAGGTACTTATGTTCAGCTCGGGCTCAGTTCTTAAACAATTGTTTAAGCTTGTTTAGAAAAATGAGCTCGACAGACTCTATTTCAACTTGTAAAGCTTAACTTGATTATCAACACTCACTACAAGAAAAATTATTTTTTGTTACGTATTCTATGCGACAAATTAAAAAATGTAGCAAAAAAAATACTATCCGCGATAATTTTATAATTTTGTCGCAAATTTCTATTCTAATAATGTTTTTTGCAATGTTTTTTCCAAGTGCGTCGTGGGGTAGCGTTCCCTTCCCAAATCTTTTTTGGCGCAAGAAATGACGAGAAATAGCAATTTTTTACAATAAATATTTTTTATCCTAGATAATATTAAATCGTCACAAAAATAAATAATCAAAAATAAATAAATAAATAAATAAATTCAAAATATTTGGTGACGTTTTTTAGTTTATTTTTGAGACAATAAAAATAGTCACAAAAAAAAAAAAATTCCTTGTAGTGACTATCACCGATCGGTTGGTTGAGTGGATAAAAATTTGAGATCATGTTTGGGTTAGTTTTCGGAAACTATTTTTTGTTCTCAAAATTTTGAAAACACCTAAAACATGTTTGTTTAGCATTTTTGTTCTCTAAAATTTGGAAAAAAAAATGAAATTTGAGTCAAAGAAACAGATATATATATAATGAAATTGTCAATATAAAAATAAATTTTTTATATTATTTTATTAATGTTTGAATTACTGTTCAAATATATATTTAGACTATTTAAACAGGTTTTACTATTTTTTGTATTATAAAATTATTTTTGCAATCAACTAACCAAACAAATTTTTTATCTCAAAAAATATCAAAACCACTTTTTTAAAACTTTTCTCAAAGATTATTTTCGAATACTGTTTTTTGAAACGCAAACTAAACAGCCCCTGAATTTCATCAACTCAATACTTGAATTTGGGCCTCTACAGCAATGGTTGCTTGGTAGAGCTAAACCTAAAGCAAAAATCTTAGACTTCGATGTCATGTGGAATCTCTTTAATTTCTAGCTAACTAATTATTTAACACACAACCTTCTTGAGGTCAAGAGTTCAAGTTTTTTTTTTTTAAAAAAATAAATAAGTTTTCTAGCACAGACAATGTGGACCTTCTTTCAGTCCAGCAGGTGCTTGGCAAAAGTCCTAAATGAAGTAGCCCGTTTTTCAACCCAAGACTCGATAAGCATTGTGAAAAGCATTCCAACCAGGAGAATTAAATGACAACTCTTCTTGATTCACTGGCACAAGCAGCAAAATCTAATAATTAGGTTAGAATATGGTTACCGAAAAATTATTTGTTATTACCGTTCTTTCTATTTTGGGTAAATGATATTTTAAACTTTGAAAAATTTTAAAAATATTAATCTACAAAATTAAAATTTCATTATTGCGTCTACAATTATATAAAATAAAAAAATAGTAATGTGGTCTAAAGCCAAATGTTCGTTGCTTTGTCGAAAAATAATTTTTGCTTTATTTTTTATATTATTTTTTTGTACATAATAGACAAAATGTTATTTGTCCTTTTTTTTTGTCCAATCACAATGTGACGTGAAGAAATTTTTTTATAATTTTATTTTATTATTTTCATAATCAAGGCAAGGCTATAAATAACACCAACTAAGATTCATGACTTAAATTTATTATTTTGATACGATAGAAAAAAATAAACTTTTAGTACCTTAATATTAAGGAGAAGACTATGGCATTGAAAAAAAAAAATTGGTACCATACCTCTAAATTTTATAATTTTAATAAGTGTTTTTATAATTTTTGTGAATTATTTATAATAAAAAAATTTACAACTTTTGTGAGTGATTTACAAGTTTTTGTAGGTGTTTTTATAATTTTTATGGGTATTTTTTAATCACTTTTGTTATAATTTATTATCGATTCTAATGATATAAAAATACCTATAAAAATATAAAAGATGGTACATTATCAATTTTTTCTTTGTTTTTTTGTTGGTGCCATAGAGTACTCTTAATATTAAATGTGTTGTATTATGTACCAGTATAGTCAAAGGTAAGAGAGTCTCCATATCCATGGCATCTACCGGGACTTTAGGTGGCTTAATAACACCCCCAAATTGATACGTAAATTGCCATAACCGTTGTAAAACTCAAAAGGCGCCGAAAAATGGCACTGGAAAATAATGGCCCGGCAAAGCCGAATACATGGATTGACAACAACATTTAAAGAGATATAAGAGTTCATGTATGAGAACTTGAGTGATTGTGATAAGATTATTAATGAAACATCTGCATCCTCGAGACCTTAAACTGACAGTCAGAATTGTTAAGCATTAATGGTCGTGGTGCTGACTGTACATCCTTAGTAAACCTCGAGACTATGTACCCCGAATATTAAACATTCAAAAATAAGTATCAGGTGCCGATAAGAGGAGCTAGAGTGCCCGAGGATAGCCATAAATGCTCAGCGTGCCCCCAAACATTTGTCCTATTACCCGAGCATTGAATACTCACGAGGATTTGAGTGAAGAACACTCATTACGCATGGAGAAGAGTGCAAGTTATTAAATGTCGTGATGAGACTCACAACCCTTGCACTCAATAACTCAATGTTGATACAATTACAAATCCTTCTCAAAATATGAACAAATATACAAAAAAAACTAAATAGAGAAAACAAAAACATTGTGCTCAAACTTTCAAATTTTTACTGACTTAAGTTTCAGAATGAGTAAGCTAAGTGTTCACCCGACCTCTATTTTGAGCTTTTAATTATTTCAGATTCATCATCAAAAGAATCTCTATCTCTATTCATGGTTAGAAAGAGTAATACTAAACTAACCAAATTTTAAAATCAAATTTAAAACTTAAATGACATGACAGTTGATTTGGACTTGTTTGATCGGTGTCATGTCATTTAAACTTCAATAAAAATTTTAAATAGTCAGCTGTCGTGTTATTTAGAATTTAAATTTAATTCCAAAATTTAGCCAATGTACCCAAATCTCCCATGGAGCATCAATAATGGTGGAAGAAAAAATAAGGCAGAGCAGAAAGCCTACTTATCCTCCATTACCTTCTTCAATGCTATGATTTAAATGGCGAAAGAGACTAATAGTAAATGCAGATGACGTGAATCTGAGTGTTGCAGTCCAAGATCGGTAACTCCGAAATTGACACGAAGGTAATGGCATAAATCCAAAGAGTTCGGACCTTAATAAATAGGTCGGATTTCCATAGGATCAATAGGTCAATCATTTATAGAGTGAGTAATCTCATACAACTGTTTGATAGTGGATTTAATTTAGGCCCGTCAATATATTGGAAATTGATCCGAACTCGATTAGTCGGATATGAACTAATATTTTTTTATCGATAATTTGAATTTAAATTTAATATCTTATATTTCACGGATTTTGATTATAATCCAATCTAAATTTTTTATATAAATATTTTAAAAAAATTAATTAAAATTTAGTTAATTAAGTTATTATGATCAAATTGGATTTAGTATTGTTAACTGATTTAGATATGGACCACAAAAATAAAATTCGTCAGATTATTAGATCGGACTTTTAAAATTATATTCGAATCAGTTCAAATCCGATCCAAACCCAATCCATTGATAGATCTAGTTCGTTGACTTATCTTAGGACTTCCTTGAATTATCACAATCGATAGATTCAAAGCACAACGATTAACAAAAAAATAGACAATTTTATTAATCTTGAAAAATTGTTAGATTACAATAGACCGATGAAATAATACCTGAAACTGATCCTACTCCTATAAATGCCCAAGTCATGAGTCTTTGATGGGTTTAATTGTGTTTATTTATTACAATTAATGTCTCTTTTATAGACATCTCTATTCAAAATTCAAAATAACCGCTTCACTCCCTTTATCACAAGGGTTATAACTGTCATTGAATTTCAATAGGCTATATCGATCGGCTAGTTATACATCCACTTTTGATTAAATGAATGTCAAGTGTCCATTCTTTGTCACTAACTTGTTCATTGAACATGTGTTATTCATCATCTATTCACCAAAAATATGGAATTTGGTTCAAATAACTTGACAGTAATCCGACTATGAACACAGAATATATCATGACAAGAATACAAATCTACCTATACACGATTACAAACAGATCAGCACGAGTCAGATAACTTTTGATATAACATGACACAACTTAAACACGATATAAACTCATCAACATGAAAACGCATTATTTTCACACATTGACGAAGTAAAAGAGAGAAACTTTACATATTGCAGATGCTATTGAAGTGAAGCAATACATTTTAGGAAGTGAAAATATTGAGGCTTAATCAGTTGCCTTAACTTAGAAAGAATCAAATGATGATGCTGCTAGAGAGTATATGGTGGCAACTAGTCGAAACATAGCCCACAGTAAACAAAGGAAACTACACCGTTCGATCAAAATAAAATCAATTCTTATTTTGACTAAACAATTTCAAGTCGAATCAACTAATCTAAGTATATTTTTGTTCACGTTCATAAGAGTAGAACTCTTGCTTGTAACTGTATTTTCGGATGTCAATCACCCTCAACCATGCGCATTGAGTAAACCAAGACTCGGACCTAGCTGAGTATCAGTGCCAAAGTTCTTCTACATGGCAGCAAGAGCATTAATCTGTGTTAGGGACCTCATAATATCTCCTCCGAGCAACCAAATACAACGGTAATACTATGTCATTACTGTCACGTAATGTTACCATCCGATTCAAAAATGACAAATAGGCAAAGTAAACATCACTAATGCTATGCACGTAATCATTGTCACGTAATGTCTCAATCCAACTAAGAAATAACAAGTAGGTAAAGTGAACTTCACTAATTTTATGTGTTGACGACTTAATGTGATGATTACTGAGTAGTTATGAAAATAGTGAAGCTAATTTTATCTACTTGTGATTTTTTAATTAAATCGTGACATCACGTGACAATAATAACGTGAACATGTGAATGTAATTGCCACACTCCATATATCTACTACTTTGGAGATACAATAATTAGGGAATTATATTTATTTTTATATCTATATCTATATTTATACCATTTATAAATGTTGATATCTGGGAAAAATTTTTAATTTTTAATTTTATCCCTAATTATTATTATAAAATCAATTATACTTGCATATTTATTTTCATCCAATTTTTATTTTCTATACATATTTGACTTTCAAGTTCTTTTACACTTTTTTATTAAGCATATTTAACTTCTAAATTCTTTTGAACTCGTTTATCAATAGTACATTTACATAAATTTTTTCATATCCAAGTTTATATTTATATGAAGAAGTAAAATCAATTATATATTCTATTATTATATATAAATAGTTATCACGTTGAATTCTATGATCAAATATATGTCCTATTTAATTTTTTGGTATGCAATAATATCATAATAGTATAATACAAACAATAGTATTACAATCTAATCAATCACATTGCTAAAAAATGCAATACCTTTTGATGATGCATAAATTGATCTCGTGTAAAATCAACAGTCGAGTATTTGAAGAGATGCAATAAATGAACAATAAATAAGATAATCAATGACAAAATAGTAAATTAGAGCAAACATGTAGGTGTATAGTGGTTCAATCCAGGTAACCTACTCCACTATTTGAAAATGGTAGTTGTGGCCAGAGATTTTTATTGATAAATAAAGTAATCGAGAGAATTACAGTAACAGGGAGAGACAAAACAAGTGTGTAGAGAGACAAAGCTCAAGGTGTAGTGTGTTGGACGAGATGTAATGAGATGTAGATATCACTCCATGTGGAGAGAATTTACCATATATAAGTTTGGTGAAGTGAAGTGGTGAGGTGAGGGAGAGGGCACCAGCTCTTTGGCAAGTACAATTAAGATACGATTGACCTTCATGAGTACATACCCTGACATTCTCTTTCCCACGTGCTTCTATCTTATCGGGCTACTTGGATCTTGAATTGGATAGGATCGGTAAAGTGGCCTTGGACTACCTTTTAGGTGATTTGGACTTACTTGATTCATTGGGTCTGACCCAACTAGATTTGAGCTCATCACCTTTAAGATATAATTAAATATGCAAATACTCAAAAATGACATTCTTATAATAAATCTAAAACAAAAGAGGAGATCTCCAAAGGAGCGGAAGAGATACCTAAAAAATTGGCCAATTAAGTACTCAAAGTAGAATAGAATAGATTAATAATTAGTTTTAACAATAATTAAAATAAAATTTAATTATTCAACACATAATTTATTATTCAATTTAAGTATGTCCAAGTGTCTTGAGAGTAAGCCCAAAAGTTCTGTCAATTAGGGTCTCTTAAAATGTGAATTTTTCACTATTCTACCGTGATTTCTAAACATTTTTTCAGTGATTTCTATCTTAATTCCACACACTTTCATGCAATTTGGAAATAAGTTTGAAATCAAGGTATCAACAGAGTTTGATTCCTTGTAATGTAATGCACATTTGCACAGTAGCACATTTTCAATCAAGGAATTATAAGGCATTGAAATGCTCCTGTCCTGCAACCCAAGTTCTACAAGTTTAGAATTTAGCTCATATATCAGGTGATCATGCAGCAGTTCCACTAAAAACAGAACAAGTGTTGCAAGCACAATGGCAGGCAGAACCTTTATCTTACCACAGATGATGAATTTCTGCGGTGAATGGTGAAGGCCAATGCCCTTGCATGTACGTTACAGCATATGTAGGGACATATAATCATTAAAACGAACTTCCCACTTTCAAATATTAAATATCTTCTGTTCCTGTTAGGGCACTGAATAACCATTGTTCAAGAACTTCACCGACTTTAATGCTACTGTACAGGTGATCCACAGTAAGTGATGACTAGTTTCATCACCATTCAATGCACTACCAATCCAAGAAAGCCAATCAGTAGTTCAAATGCATTTTAGAAATCCAATTCAGAGTTCTTGTATTTTTCATACTTTACTCAAACCAAGAAACAAATATTTTTAAGACATCATGACCACTAAATTACCAGTGAACTTCATTTAGAATCCACGTCAAATCCAATGATTAGGATGTGTGAACTTCATTTAGAATCTACCGCAAATCCAACCATAAGGATGCATTCAATCCTCAAATTAGATATCTAAATTAGGTCACAATAGCATTGTCTTTTTGCATGTGGGCTAACTAACTGGATTTTTATATATATCTTTAAGACCACAAGAATTACATGTTCCTGTTGAAAAGTGAGCTCACTTAACAGGTCTTCTGACAATATATTGAACAGAAAAATGGTGAGAGGGACCTTCAACCATGCCGTTCTAAGTAAAAACAGTGTACAAGTTGCAAGGGAGAACTATAGGTTTCCTAAATTTTCTGTATACTAAAAGAATTTCACCTCTGATTTTCAACTTCAGTTTGCTCTATGTACAGTAGTCTTGAACAAAAGGACATATTGCTTCTGATCCATTGAGAAATACAGGAACCCACCAATTGAATGTGTCACAAAGGACCCAAAACTTGTCCCTACAATACAGTGCCAGGCTGGTCCATAAACCCCATCAAACTCCTGCAACAGACAATCCCATTAAATGATCAATCAATTTATCAAACACCCCCAACTGAAATCAACCAGAAACCACAATAATGACTCTTTTGATTACCTTTTTGATAGTTAATTCACAAACCCAATAATTGATTAATCAATTCATAAAAAACCCACAACTGGAATCAACCAGAAACACATACTAATGACACTTTTGATTACCTTTTCGAGAGTTCATACACAAACCCAATAACTGATTAACCAATTCATCAAAACCTACATCTGGAAGTCAAGCAAAAACCTATGGTAAGGATTCTTTTAATTACCTTTTTAAGAGTTAAAGCAAGGGTCTTGGAAGTGAACTTTTTCAAGCTATCATGAGTCTTTCTTGCACAATCCACAGCATGAATCTGCATGAATGGTGGCATGTCAACAGCCACAACTTTCACACCAGTGCAAGAGAAAAAATCAGCCAACTCAGTTTGTGAGCAGCAAAATGACTTCCTCCTGCCACCATTCATTGCCAGTGAGAAAGATGGTCCCTTCACTTCAAATCGTTCATGATATCCCTTTAGTCTATCATCTTGACTCCTTGACATCAACAAAGATGTTCTCTTCACATCTTGCCCTTTATCAGATTGATTTTTTCTGGCATCTTTTTTGTACACTTTCTTGACTTCATCCGTTTTGCTGCTCACATATGCTTTCTTGATGTCATGCTCCTTATGAGAGTCTGAGTCCCCAATTGACTTCTTTTCCTTCTCTTTAACCTTGGTTTTTGTGATCTCTTTCTTCAAATCTGACCTATTTACTCTATGTTGGTGGTTTGACTTGGTCAATGATGTGCTTGAGCTATCTGAGATAGAGGAAATATCCACGGATTTTGCTTGGAAGTGGGTGTCAATACCAAGTTGTGAGCACCCATCAGAGTCTTTTAAGGAAGAAAGGGCTTTGTGATTTGCATACAACTTGGCAAAGTGATTGGATATGTTTTGGATGGTGGAAGAGGGAACAGTGGGATCTGGTTGGTGGGTCTTGGTGGTGGAGTTGGAGGTGGTGGTGGCCAAGGGGGTGGATTTGAGGTGCTTTTTGTGGGTGGGTTCCATGGATGTCTTGGGGTGGTCTGAAGATGCTAAGTTACGCCTGTGGGTGGTCTGGTGTGCCATATCTAATGTTAGGGATGAAGAGAAAATGGAGAAGGGGGTGTTTAGGTTAGGGTATAAAGGAGGAAGTGTTGCCTGGGATTTGATGGGGTTGGGGTTCATTGGATAGGGACTTGAGAGGTGAGATCTGGTTCAGCTTTGTTCTAAATTGCGCCGTGTGCGGAGGACAAGGGAGAAATTGAGAGGACTGTGACTTGTTTGACTTGATCAGTTCTAGGACAAGCACGTGTAGTCACAATCTCAGCATCGTAATGATTTTAATAAATTTTGTGTGTTTTTTTTTGGTCCACAATGTTTTTTTTTAATCGTATAATTTTTAAATTGTGTTATTTTTACTATATGTTATATTTCTGTTAATATTTGTATTAATAAAAAATTATTTAAATGTGTAAGAGCTTGCCTAAAACTCCGATTTGATATCAAATGCATGAAAACTCAATTTTTTTACTTCAAGTTAAGAGATATTTAATTTTTTATTTAAATTTTTAATGGTTAAATTTCACCATCTTTTAAAAAATTTATGATCATAATTCACCTTTCTTTGAAATTATATTTATCTTCACTTGAATTTCAATTTAGCTTTCTTTAAATTTAAACTTTTTCTGTTGGATATTAGAAGAAAAGTGGAAGAAAATTGTTCGTGCAAGATCCTGCACAATATAAAAAACGGGAACAGATCTCTCCCCTAGTGAACTTCGAGTGAGCGGGTGGAGTGACCAAACACGCTGCTTAGGACAGTCTGCGAGGTACGGTGGTAATCTGGAACGGCAACGGGAGACCCTGGGAAAGGAAGAACGATCCTGTGAGGCTGAAAGGGGTTCCTAGAACAAAGAAGAACAAGTTAGAAGGGTGCCGGAGTGTTTTTCGGCGTATCCCCTCCGACGGTCTAGTCAATCTTTGAGTGAGAGAGAGGAAGGAGAAAACACTGAGAAAAATGTATTGCAGAAGAGGGTATTTGTTCTTGAAAATCCCTGAGGAAGTTTCCCGAGGGTTAGATCGCTATGTATCGACCGGATGACACCTCCAGTCAATCGGAAAACAAAAGGCTAGGAGGAAGAAAAGAAAGAGGATTCTGAAACTCACCTGAACGTCAAAATGAAGTTTTTTCTAGAAAACCTTAAAGCGACTCCCTCCAGAAAGTTCAGAAATCAACAATGGGTCTGCTGGCTTTAAGATTTTGAGGGAGAATGGGCAGTCGACGATGGCAGAAGAAACAAAAATCCGGCGAAGATTCAAGAAGAGGTACTCTGGAGAAAGATCGAAATGACAAAACGAGGAAAACGGAAGAGGAGACCCTTTTATATAGGGGCAATTGTCATCATTGGGCGCGAAAACCGAAACGGCGCATTTAATGCGCACGACATCCCAAGCCGGGGAAAGCGGCTCGAGGCCATCATGAAGGACGGGTGGTAGTTGGGAAACCCTTCGTCTCCTTACAACGCGTGTCCTCGATGTCAGAAGATCGAAGGCTGGGGGGCAGTTGATGGGACTTTTCTAAAAAACCCTATGATGAAGACACGTGTCTTCGGTTTACTAAAACACTGTTGCTAGGATTGAGCACCATCGGCGTACAAATGCCCTTGCCCCCGAGGTACCGTCATGTATGATTATACATCCAGTATATTTTACAACCGACACGTGTCCTCGGTCAGATACGTACCTCGGTCGGCATAACTCCCTCGGTCCCCGAGATCAGCCTTTCCTCGGTGCCGAGAGGTACCCCGTCCTGGACGCTTCCTCTATTCTAGGATAAGCTATTGACGTGCAGGTCATTAGCCTAGGCAAGTCTAGGCTATTCATCATGACCTCGTCTTACACAAGTAATGTCAGAACGTACTGGAATACAGAGGTCACAGCCAATAGGGGATGGACGCGTGGCATATGATATCACATCAGAGACAGACAAACCGCATGTTGTTGCTGACACGCGACTTGGGAAAGCAAACAATTAATTGCACCATTCCCTTGATGAGACCGTATTCAATGCGGTAAGGCTCGAAAATGAAAGGCAATAAATGCTCCTATTACAGAGCATTTATTGCATCCTCCCCGAGAGGAACACACTGTACCATCGGCGTCCCGACGATCCAGCATTGATTGCTCGGGACCCCGAGCAGTTAATTAGAGAAGACATTCCTCGTCAGAATCAATGCACACGCTACTTGAGCCTAATGATCACTTACTGACGACACTGACGGCAATCATGAGTTTTTAAGGTATAAATACTCCTTGCAAAAGGCAAAGCGGGTATGCAACAACAAACTCTCTACGGCAATACATTTTTCTCAGTGTTTTCTCCTTCCTCTCTCTCACTCAAAGACTGACTAGACCGTCGGAGGGGATACGCCGGAAAACACTCCGGCGCCCTTCTAACTTGTTTTTCTTTGTTTCAGGAACCCCTTTCAGCCTCACAGGATCGTTATTCCTTTTCCAGGGTCTCCCGTTGCCGTTCCAGGTTACCACCGTACCTCACAGGCTGTCCTAAGCAGCGTGTTTGGTCACTCCACCCGCTCACTCGAAGTTCACTAGGGGAGAGATCTGTTCCCGTTTTTTATATTGTGCAGGATTTTGCACGCACAGAAATAAAAGATACATGTACTTAATTTATCATTATACCCTTATATATATAATTGTTTATTATAAATATATTTAAAGGATTCAGTGTCGCTCTAATTCGTTATAAAAATAAATAGACAAATAAATATAATTATGTATACTAAAAATAATAGCCAACAACTCAAGCTATTTTGTAAATAGATAAAATTGTAAATCTACAACTCAAGTAGAAGAGAAATGGAAAGAAATTTATTTGACTTTTACTTTTTACAATAGAATTTTTCTTTATTATTTGATTTGGAAAAAAAAAATTTACATGTGTAATTTAGATTTTTATTATCAAAAAATTATTAAATAATGTCATCAGGTGTCTTACCATGTATAAGTCATATTACAATATTTTAAAATTATGCTCCTTTAACAAATGGTACTTAAACATGATAGTTATAGATAATATATAATTAATAAGGATATAAATATAAATTAACTGAATGATCTTTTTTGCCAACAATCCTCTCTCATTTTCCGCCCATATTTGGGTGGATCAAAAATAGAAACTCTTTTCACCCCTTTTTTCTTTCCATCCATTTTTCTTTTCTTCTCACCAAACAACAAAAAGTGCTTCATTCCCTCTCATTTTCCATCTTCATCTTTCTATCCACCTTTTTCTCTTTTACCAAACAGGGCATCAAAGATTATAATTAATTCATAAAAATTATAAATAATGATATTATACCAAAATTATTTGTTGGGATACGTAGATAACTCCCAAATAAAGAAGATAGATAGTTTAGTAATGCTTTCTTCATTTGCATATTCATTGGTCAACATTAATTATGGTACAGTACATCGATGGTTCAGTTCTGAACTTGCACCCTTATTATTCTCATCATGGCGTATTCAAATGCTTGAAATTAGGGATGTTAATTTTGTTCTTTAACACAAATCTAACCTGATGTAAAACTCAAAAATAACAACATTAATAATAAATAAGTTAAATTGAGATTTGACACAAATAAAATGATTAACAAGTACAGTAAATAAAAAATAAATAATAATATTATAAGAGTTGTTGTGAAATTAAATAATTTTTTATTGACACAAACTCAACACATATTAAAAAAAAATGACACGACATGATTGACACTTCTACTTCAAGCCCGTTGACCCAAAATAGTTTTTAACGAGTTCACTTTAATACTGCCCCTTTATTTTTCAATATTTATAAAGATTTTTCTTTATCAATGGTGGTCGGTCATGTAATCCATAGCCATGCTTCTTTTTCGGCTAAAGACTGATCATACATAAACTGACAAGATTTCTAATTTTAACGAATCAAACCCGAGTTGGGGTTTTTTTTTGGGGTGGGGGGGAGGGGATGAGAGAACCCTGGCTGAAGGTGTGACAGTGCAACCAGTGAAAGCACTAACAGGACTAGGAATGGAACTCATGAACTCAGAAACAAATCTCCATAAAAAGCAAGCAACAAAAGATAACCATAAATATACAGTGCAAGGAAGCAGAGTTCTATTGTCGACAAATTCTAATTATTCGATGGTTGCATACCCTTCAACACAAGTTGGCATTAAAAGCTACCTCAGCTACCATTTTGTGAAATGAAATTGCAGAGAAATTATTAAAGAAACAGTGAAGCAGAGGAGGCAGACACAAACAAAAAGTACAACAGAACAAACAAGAGCCACCACCACCACCATCATCATCATCATCCATGCTTAAAGAACATGGGTGTGTCAGATGTATCTCCTTGTCATTTCTGATCTGAATTTTCGGGATTTCATTATGTTGTGTATGGATGAAGTTAAATAATTGCTTTAAGCAACTGTTTATGAAGTTCTGATGACACATGTCACATCTATGAATAAGCAACTGTCAAGCAGTGGAAGCTATATTACACCCAAAAACAAAACAAGAATTTAGATATAAACTCAGATTTTTCTGCAGTATTACAGCCCAATTAGGTCCAAGTTACAACTCAAATAAACCAACTTACGACTCATGGGTTCGATTTGGGATCCGTACGTAATTAATCCCAATTTTCAAAGACTTATTCAGGATCTTTTAAGATCAAACCCAAATTTTTGGACCTAATAAGTTGGTAGCTTTGACCTCATTGAGTCGTCGTGCTCACACCTAGTGATTGGATTGTAACATATTATCGGCACAATACTTATCAGTACATTAGATTTTTCCTACACTCAGGAGCCGGGGCTGAAAGCTTCATTTCTTAGACACTAACGGCTTTGTTTGGCAAGCATCGCCAACATCAATTTACAAACTTGGAACTACATGGCAATGACAGTTCTCCCCACGCTGATATAGATGGAAGATGGCTTAAAAAGATGTTTTCTAATCTTTGACGCTCTGAGCCAGGCTCAAGGCATTAGAAACTGGAACCTAAGCTATTCCTTTTCTAGTCCACATAAAAGATGGGAGAGATCAATTTTCAGCTGCAACATCACATGGTTCCTGGTCATTAACAATGGTTGATGACTTATCTAAGGCTCTAAGCTCTAAGATACACAAAGCCAGGAGACAGAAAATAATGCCTATATGTGAACCTGAGCTGTGAAACGCAGATAGCATCACTTCTAATTCCATGGACTTGGGTGCCGGGCATCTCGGAATGCTGAAGTGCCACCTGATGCCGCTGGTGAAGGAGAGGATGCAACGTAGTTTGTTCCAGACATGGATACTGTGGGTAGATTTGATGCGTGACCTTGTTGCCCAGGGGGTGCAAAGCGTGATGGACTACCAGCAACTGCAAAAGCTGTGCGTGAAGGGTGTGGAAGCTGCATCAAGATTCCAACAGTAAAAGTTAATTAAACACCACGTCATGACAAACTAAAGCATAAATTTGTAAGGATGACAATTCACAATTGCTAGAAGATCTTAACTTCTATAAAGGTAGCATTGGACAACTAATGTCTGTTTCACTGAAAGACACGGAAGATCTTTTGTTCAATGAATTCAATAGTGTTCAAACTCTGAACTACAAACATTTTCAAATTTGAGTGGTGCTAAACAATAAATAAACAGATAGCAGTCATCTTAGATAGCTGATGTATTCTACGTCCCTGAATAGCAGATAGCATGTGTGAGTAATAGTTGATATGTTTATCTCCAACCAGTTCACTGAAAAACCTTGTACCCACATTTTACGTCAACAATTCCTCCAGTACATATGGACAATAGACAATGACGAGCATTCACACCAGTTATCGAGATGACATCAAGAGCAATTAGGTGTAGCTTATTGATAAGGGAAAGAGAAAACATCCCTCCGAGCACCGTTGACAAAGAATTTCCAAGTCAGTGCAGAACAAGTGAATTCCTATGTCTTAAATCATAGAAGCTCGTAGTGTGGAAAAGATGGTCCACAAGCATTAGTTTTGGAATAAAACAATCCAGGCAAATTATTAAGAAACATTGGGAAATAACAAAACTGAAAATTCAATATATACATATGGGAACAATTTTCAGCACATTGTAAGAAACTTCTAAAATTATTAACAAGAGAAAAAATGCACAGTTAATCATCAAAAACTCGTATGTTCAAGCAGTTAAAAGTTATTTTAGTTTGCATAAAACTTCTCAAAAAAACAAATAAATCACTGAAGCTTAGCAAACATATTCCCGCACTACTTGTTCTATATATGCTTGCATGTGAGTGGAGTGTGTGTGTGTGAGAGAGAGAGAGAGAACCATGTAAATATCAGAAGATAAGTTGAAGATCATATGTCGTACAATTTTTTTGCATGTCATATGCTTTCAAGTACATAGAACATGCACTATTGGAAGAATGAAGTGTCAAAAAATGGACAAGACCACCCTAATGTGGGCTATTGATAACCATAGTCTGTTCAATGACAAAGCTTTTGTGTATAATGTGGTTCTTTTTCCCTTTTTCTTGTTGTAGGAAAAATAGAAAGTGGCCCGAAATTGGTCAAGAAAATGAATACTTGGAATCCCATCCAGCTTCCCAACTGGTCATACATTTTGCATGCATGTAGAATATGGTTGAAAAGAAATCACATATGTAAGAAAATTAAATGGGCATGGTACAGCCCTTTTCGGTCTGGTAAAAAGAAAAATTTGCAGTAGGATAGCTATACATTAAACAGTCAAGGAGCTGTTACCAAGTCTTTGAAAATAATATTAACATCACAAGTACCTATAGACAGCGATACACAGTAATGTAAGGAAACCGTAGCTGAAAGAACACAAACCATGGTAAGATACCTCACTTATAGAGATTTCCAGAGACAAGAAACGGGTGAGATCAGCATGAGTTTTGGTATAAGATACAGATAGCAATATTTCATGTGTCATATTATCGTAAAAGTCCAATATAATTAGTTACTTTCTTTGGAAAATCACAAATGCCACGTAATATGCTCCCAGAAACTTGGGCAACCTCACACTCATTAAATATTTCATGCATCTATACAAATGTATTACCATATTATAGGCTGGTCTCCTATAAGGAGAATCTGAGGATGGCGATATACTGCTCATTCGAAGCAAATTTCGAGAATACATGTTATGGTTAGAAATATCATCAGCTTCTCCCACTTCCATATCACCAAGGTTCGCTTCTGAACCCATTTTAGAAGTGGCATGTCTAGACATTGATCCAGAGTCATTTGTAACATCCACTAGCAGAGGAACAGGTGGCCGAACTGCCATTCCTTGCACACTACTTCGTCTCTTCAATTCCTCTTCTGCATTCAGTATCTGTAGAGCACCATCAATAACAACAGTTGTCAACAACTTTACACATATATCTAAGAAGCCAACTCCAGACACTTAAGCAGTGGTGAGTATCCTGAAAATTTACTCCCATACATACAACAGGGTAGCTGAACATAAGATTTACCTGTTTCAGCATTTGTACCAAATTGTGCTTTTTTTCATTTAAAATTTGCAACTTGTCCTCAATCTCCCTTTTCCTTTTCTCTTTATCGTTTAATGCATCCCCTTTCTTGTTTGTCTGGAAAGACAAATAAAAGAACCAATAAACACATGGCATAGAAAAGTAAATGGAGATTATTATCCGTTTACATCTTAGAGAAGAGAGTGACAGAGAAGAAAAAGAAGCAAACGAGTAAGTGATTCAATTCAATTATTGTCCACGTCAATTGGAAACTGGAAAAATGCATGTCAGCTTACCTCATGGCTTGATGAACCATTTGAGGCTTAGCGTCAGCCATCACAGGTTCATAGACAAGGGCCGCTGTTAAATACACATGGCATTTGTGAAGTGCATGCATTGCACACTGCTGCTTCGTTGATACAACGACATTCTTTGTGTTGATGATAGACTTATGGTGTTCATCTCATGAATCTTATTTGACTCAATTGTATATTCATTTTACAGTGTACATCTCATGGATGTGAAATTCATCTTTGACCGCGTTTGTCTCATGAACGTTAGTAGAGGCATTTTATTTTTTACAAATTTAAACTAAGACTTCATCTATAAGCCTATTGAGCTGGAATGCCTGCGTGACTCTTTTACACTGTCCAAATTAACAAATACTTTTTTACACTCTATAAGATTCAAAATAACCAACAAAAAAGCTGTTGCTTTTGACTTCTATGACTATATTATAATGAACCTTACTTGCAGTACAATTAAACTCGAAGAAAAAAAAAACTGCAGTATAAGAATATATAATTAAGTCTTATTCTGGCCCTTCATTTTTTACATTCACGTCATTATGTTAACAGTGTTTAACACATTCAAAATATCCCGACATAGCATCGAAACTAAAGTTCCCCTCAATACTTGAAAAAGGTTTCTATCATTTGACAACCCCTCATATGTATCTTTTTTCCAATGAAATTACCACAAGCAGTGTAAGTGAAAAGGGTGGGTCCAAAACAAAACAAACATTTTTCCCCTAAATCTTTGCTCTGGCTTGAAAATAGTGCACCTATATGTATATAGATCTTGCAATCTCATTACTTTCCAAGCATCTGTAGAGCTTCCTAGGTGGCTATTCAAGGGTTTAGTATTCTTTTCACATTTGTTCTTTGTTAATTCCCCAATTTGAATCCTTACTTAACATCTCCTGAAGTAAAACAATGCCAGGAAGTAATGCCAACCATTTGAAGAAAATAGACACCATAACCCACAATCCTCAGCAATGTGTGCCTGCCCCCGAGAAAGAGAAAGACAAAGACAAAGAGCAGATGACAAACCGTCAAAATTTGAACGACGATGTGATACACTTTACTTCTATACACAAAGCATGACAGAGGAGGAGGAGGAGGAAGAGAAGTTCAAGGCATGATAAGGGCTACAAGTTCAAGCAGCACTAACCGCAGAAAGGAGCTGGCCAAAACTAATCAACTAGACCAAATTGCCAGATTTAGCCTTCATATTCGCAACAAACCTTCAACAGAGGTTCAGTTTCATCCCCTCATGAATTGATCCAGGTTATTTGGGCCTCAGAAATTTTGGCAACCCTTGTGTCAATCATGAAAACTTTCAAATCAACATACTTCTTTTTTTTGCCTTAACTTCTGGAATCTGGCCCTTTTGAGCGGGTGTGTATAAGCAAGCATATAAGTTCGGCAGTCATATTACACCATAGAATTTTAGCTAAACGTATACACTAGCACTAACTGTTCACATTTAAGATCATGGGATTATTTTTTCTTACTTCACAATAACTAAGTATAACCACTAGTGCTCTATACTTGGAAGTTTAAACCAACGAATTTTAAAGCTCTTAATTGAAAATAATCAGAAGTTAGGGATGTTCCACTAATTCATTTATTTTTATTTACTAGTTTTTGTATGATTATAAATTATAATGCATAATCCTCCATAATATAGGTAATTAAAACAGCATACAATCACACATGCACAATATCAGAATCCAAAAAATATATATATAAAAAATACTACCTCCGAGCTAGGATTCACCGGAGCCTCTGCTTTCACGTCCTCTGAATTCCCATGTTCCTCCGCCGGTTTGGTCTTGTTTTCCACAACGACATGCTTATCCTCAACCAACGGCTCAGACCCACCAACCGGTTTCGCTTCACAATCACCACAGTCCAATCCCTTCTCCTCCTTTACCTCCAATCCCTTCTCCTCTTTAACAATCTCTTCAGTTCTCAACGGAGGGCACGGTTCAGGAATTGGAGGCTCTCTACTTGAATTCCCAATAGGTTTCAAATCTTCCTCTTGTTTCACATTAGGGCTAGGGTTAGGGTTAGGGTTAGGGTAAGAGGAAGAGGTGGAGCGGAGGCGAGAGAGGGCTTCGGCACGTCGGTGGAGGAGGATTTTGAAGTTTTTGAGAGAGATTTTGGGGGTTGGGACTAGCCATCGACGAGGTACGTCGGGGGCTTTGTGGAGGTTTCCTCTGTATAGTGATATCGCTACCATTTTCTCTCTATTGCTTTTTTTTGGCTTCTGTATTCCCTCTCTCTCTCTCTCTTCTTTCATTAATTGGACTACTAATTTCATTTTGCAATCCCAAAGAAACTTCAATTCTTAATTTGCATCACTAAAGAATTGGATTTTCAAATTTCACCCTTAATGTTATAAAACAGGTGCAATTTGGCCTATTTTCAAGCTCAAATTGCAACCTCAATCTTGAATTTAACACTAGAATTGGGCTATGTTGAGAATTAAAGCATCTTTTAAGGTACAAGGTGAGATTAACAAGAGAGACCAGACTTCTGATGTTGCCACTAAATTCCAAGTTACAATTCTGTTTTAAAGAGAAAAAAAATTCTCATATTTGGTAAGTATTTGGGTTAATTGCAAATTATATCCCAAAAAATTGTTTGAATATCAATTTATATCTTTAATGATCAAAATTTTAATTTACACCCTCAAAATAATAATTTATATCAATGACACAGAAACTAATGATTGTCAAAAATTAAATTGATAAATTATACTTGAATTCCTTCATACTTATCATTTAATTATTTCGATCCCTTCACATTTAATATATTATTCATACACCTCTTGATATTTGTGTATGTGTAACACATAATCTCTTGTCGTTGATATCTATTAATATAATCGTTAAAAAATATGATTTCATCATAACTTAAAATTATAATTTCACACTACCCTTTATTTTGTGGATCCGTTATAATCTAAAGTTCAAAATCAAGCTTGTCATTTGAATGCCCAATAAAATACGTATATTTATATAATGTTCTTTATATCCAATGCAATGCATCGCTTAAACAGAATTATTTGAATGCCTAATTTGGAGAATATTTTTAGTCATATTTGGATTCTCAATGAATGTAGGTGTAATATTTCAAATGTGAGAGATTTAAGTCATTAATTGTCAAACATGAGGGGATCTACGAATAGCTTGTGGTGCGCATTGATATAATTTTTTATCTTTGAAGATAAAAATTGAAATTCAAATGATCTTTCGAAATACAATTTGAGATTAACCTTCAATTTTTTAGATAGTAGCAATGTGTAGCATGTCGAATTTTTTTATCTTACGCATCTAGAGTTCGAAAATTTAACAACTCTCTTGGATGAGACTAAAAATTTATCACTCACGAATTACTGGATCTTGGCACAGATAATCTATATTTGACTTGACTGAATTATCAAGGGTAGATGTAAGTGACCAAAACACTCCTGATCAATACAGTGTGTTAAGAAAAAGGAGGAGATATGACGAGTCTGCATGAATTTCACTGACTTGAACAAGACTTTCTCAAGATGAGTATCGATTACAGAAAGTCGATCAACTGGTAGATGTAACCGCAGGTCATAAACACATTTCCTTCATGGATGCTTGGGCGGGTTACCACCAAATTCCCTTACATGAAATAGATCAGGAGAAAACAACGTTCATTATACTCTGAGGGATCTATTGCTATACAGTAATGCCATTCGGGTTAAAGAATGCTAGTGACACTTGTCAACGCTTGATGAACTGGAATGCTAGCGGCCCTCAACCAATTCATCTCTAAGTTCTCTGATAGGTGCAAACTATTTTTCACCATGCTTTAGGGGGCTACAAAGGGGACTTGGGATGAGGAATGTGGCCAAGCACTCAAAGGGATCAAGAAGTATTTGAAGTATCCCCCAACCCTGTCTGTTCTAGAGGCGGGGGAAATACTCAACCTACACTTGTCTGTCTCGAAAAGAGCCGTTAGTGGAGCCCTAGTTAGAGAAAACAAAGGAGCACAGAGGCCCATCTACTTCATGAGCAAGACCCTGCTCAATGCCAAAACACGATACTTGTCGATGGAGAAACTCGTTCTAGCATTGGTGGTTTCGGCGAGGAAGCTCAGACACTTTTTTCAAGTGCATGCCATAGAAGTCTTGATTGATCGGCCTCTCAAGCCCATTCTGCATAAGGCCGACCTATAAGGAAGGGTCGCCAAGTGGGCTGTGGAACTCAGGGAGTTTGAAATTAGGTATAAATCCCATACTTCGATTAAGGGGTAGGTCCTTGTTGATTTTATTACTGAGTTCTCAGCTCTGAGCCCCCACAAGTAGTGAAAGCTCTTGATGATAACCTCTAAAGCCTTCATGTTGATGGGTCCTCAAATGCACGGGGGGCAGAGATAAGAGAAGTACTAGAAAATTTCAAAGGATTCATAATAGAGCGAGCTATCAGGTTGGGGTTCAAGCATCCAATAATGAGGTCGAGTATGAGGTGTTGTTGGCAGGTCTCGATATTGCATACTCGGTCGGGATTAGACAGCTCCATATTTTTTGTGACTCCCAACTGGTAGTGAATCAGATCAATGACGACTTCGAGGTTTGAGACAGCAAAATGAAAGCATACCATTAGAAGACAAAGTCCAAAATTAAGAAGTTAGAAAAGATAAAATTCTCTCAGATTTCAAGGGATCACAACACCCAAGCCGACGCGTTGGCCTGCCTAGCCTCAGCATTGGCTTTTGAGACAACTCTGTGCATTATCATCGAAAGTCGAGAGAGCTCGAGTATAGGAGAGACAAAGGTTGAGCAAATGTTGCTGACGCAGTTGCAAAGAATGCCTTCAGGATGGATGGATCCCATAATCGCATATTTAAGAGAAGGAGCACTCCTCGAGGACATTAAGGAAGCTAGGAAGATTAAACTCAAGGCTTCCAGGTTCTGGATATTTGTCAATCATCAGTTATATTGGAGATCCTTCTTAGGGCCATATTTGTGTCCCCGAGGATAAGGTAGAGCCTTTGTTTTATGAGAACCACGAGGGTGTATGTGAGAGTCATACAGGAGGCAAGTTTCTAGCACATCGAGCAATGTCTCAACGGTATTGGTGGCCATATATATAGAAGGATGATAAGAGCTACGTTTGAAAGTGTGACAAGTGTCAGAAATTCACTCCCATCATCTGACAACTAGCTGGAGATTTAAACTTATTGACAAGTACTTGGTCGTTCCTCCATTCTCAGTGGAGGTTGGATATTATGGGACCTCTCCCAAGGGCCCTTTTGGACAAGAAATTCCTTCTGGTAGCTACTGATTATTTCATAAAGTGGATCAAAGCCAAGAAATTGAGCCATATTTGGGACATCAAAACAAAAAAATTCGTGTGGCAGAACATTATCACTCGGTTTATAATCCCTCGAGCTATCATCTCGGACAACGACACTCAATTCAATAGTGGTCCTTTCAGGGAATTTTGTCTAGAATTTAGAATAGGCAATTATTATTCCACGCTAGCCTACCCTTGAAGTAATGGGTAAACCGAGGTCTCGAACAAGACAGTGTTAGTTGGAATCAAGAAGAGACTTGAAAAGACAAAAGGAAAGTGGACTGAGGAGTTACTCAATGTGCTATGGGCCTATAGGACCACGTCGAGGACTTTAACTGGAAAAACACTGTACGCCATGACATATGGGGTTGAGGTTGTCATCTTGTTGAAAGTGGGGCTCCTAACGATACGAAGTCAAGCCTTTGAGTTAGGGAACAACAATTAGATGTTTGAAAAAGATCTTGATTTGGCTGAAGAAAGAAGAGAATTGACATTCATCAAACTGGCAGAGTACCAAGGGGAGCTATTAAGACAACACCAAAAGAAAGTCCAAACGAGGAACTTCCAAGTAGGAGACTTCGTGTTACACAAAGTGGTGGGCACTGCCTGGGAACCCACCGATGGGAAATTCGGCCCCAACTGGGAAGACCCTTATAAAGTAATTACCGTGGGGTGCAGAAGGGCATATAGACTACAGGATATAGATGACAATAATGTAATCCGACATTAGAATGTATCGAATCTGAAGAGATATTTCTGCTAACTGAATTCTAAGCTTGAGTTCTTGATGAATGATTAATGCGGGCCACGGCCCCGAGGGGTGTATTCCTCCGCCCTTGGAGTGTTGGTCTCGAAAGATTAACACAAGTCACACACTCGGTCATTGGGGGCACGACCCCCAAGGGATGTAATCCTCTACCCTTGGAGTGTCGGCCTCGAAAGATTAACACGAGCTACACGCTTAGTCGTTAGGGGCACGACCCTGAAGGATGTAATCCTCCACCCTTAGAGTGTTGCCCTCGAAATATTAGCACAAGCCACGTACCCCCTCGAAAGATTAACACGAGCCATACGCTCGGTCATTGGGGGTACGACCCCCAGGGGTGTAATCCTCCACCCGTGGAGTTTCGCCCTCAAAAGATTAACATGAGTCACGTGCTCAGTCGTTGGGGGCACGGCCCCGAGGGGTGTAATCCTCCACCCTTGAAGTTTCGCTTTTTAAAGATTAACACAAGTTACGCGCTCGGTCGTTAGGGGCACAACCCCGAGAGGTGCAAAATTCAAATACTTGTGCATTTCCATGATTTTATGAACTTGAAGTCAAGGAGCAATTCGTCATAATGAAGTATAGTCAACAAGGAGAAAAAGGGAAAGCATAATAAAAAAAAAGAAAATTTCATTGACAAAAAAAGGGCTTTGTGTCCCTGGAGCGTACAAAAAGAATATATATGAAGAATATATACAAAAGCAAGGAAACCCCGAGGCCTCCTTGATCTGCTCAGTCTCTGCCGCCAGCTTCTCCTCTGCGCCACCTTAGAGGCTCCTCTTCGACCCCAAGTATTTCATCTAGTTTGGCATCAGGTCCCACTGGTAGAAGGATGGGAGCAACTGGAGAAAGGGGACCACTGCCCTCACTTGCGGGAGTAGGAGAAGGGAGTTGGGGGAGATTGTTGCTCTTTTCATCACTAAGCGTGATTGTCTCATTTTGCCCTTCGGTTCCCCCCACCCTTTAAACTGGTCCTTCGAGACTGGGCTCAAACTATGGCTATTCCTTGGGAAGAATCCCTTCATCGAGCTCCCCAAGGATAATGTGCATTGAGAATAAGTCCAATCCCGTGTCAACGTGGGCGGCGTGCAAGGCGTTGTTCCAGCCATGTTTGTAAGCCTTCCTCCGAGGGCGCCTTTACATTCCTGGCTCCAAGTGTCTTTCTCGG